AAAACCAGACATCATTAAGATGTTTGTTTTTAGGCTAAATCTGGGCTGTCTGTCATAGTCTCGATTTTGCCCACAAATAGTTGTTGAAAATTGGGCGCTTTGGTGGGTCTGATTTTGTCAAACCTTAGCCCCATAACGAACGTTGAAAAGACGTTGCAAACCCAGGTTTCAAAATTTTTTCAACTATCTGAAAGTTACGGTTTTTCACCTTTCACTTTTCAACCAAATGTAGACGTCGTTTGGGCGTCAATCATGCCATCTTTCCAACCAATTTTTACTCAGAGGGAAAACATGGGTGGGGGGCGTGAGGAGCACCACCATTGTCTTTTAAATAAATCTGGATTTGGATCCATCTAAAGTTAAAGCAGCATCGTTCAGTTAAATCTCCAAGTGTTGCTCTCTGAGCCATTTGCATCTAAACGTGGTCCATCACCCGTCATCCTCATCATCATCATCATCATTCTAGGGTGTAAAGACCAGTAGATCACAGAGTGGGAGTGGCAACCTATTGGTTAGGTCATAGGGCTTGGAATCCTGAGGTTTTGAGATTGATACCCACTGGCACTCTGTGCCTCTGAGCAAGACCCTTAACCCCTGATTGCTCCCTGGGCGCCCCACAATGGCAGCCCGCTGCTCCTCTAGGGGATGGGTCAGCAAGTTGCAGAGAGTTAATTTCTCCATTGTGGGATAAAATAAGTTCAATTTATTTATTTTGTAGGTGTCAAATACCAAAGTACAAATACTTCGAGTAATTATCTTTATACAACTTTTTCCTTCTACTCCTTACATTTTTAAAAGTAGTTTTGTTTCATTTACGCTCTTATTTTCGTTATAGCCTTTTGGTTAAAAAAAAAAACTAAATCAAGTATATTAGTTTCATTCAGACAATTAATTTCTTTGTGGTTGGACTTGGTGCTGCCCCAACGTTTTGCTCACCACATACCAAAATGAATGGTTTTCCAAGATGATGCAAAGTTAAATGTGACTCTGATACCATTAGTTAGAAAACAGAAAATGAAGTCTAAGGAAGTTATCATCCAGAATTGTAGAAAAATGTTCCTTTAATAAGGTAACATTTTTACTGCATTACTTTGGCTTTTATACTTTAAGTAGTTTTAAAAATAGTACTTTTACACTTTACTTAAGCCAAAAGCTTAATACTTTAACTTCTACAAAAGCTTTTTAAACAGTGGGATTTATAATTTTACTGGAGGTGTAAACAATAACACTTTTTACACCTGTTTATTATACCTAAATATTACAAAAATACCATCTACAACAAAATCTGTAACACCCATTAACAAAATTAAAGCTCTGTTTTAAATGTCATAGATAAGATCAGATAATGTTCTAAATATATGAACTTTTCTGTATTTGAAAATACGCCTTCAACAAATTACAGCATCCTCTGTTTTCCCAGACTTTGTAACCCCCTCTGTGGACAGAATGGAAAAGGTGGAAGTAATACCACAGTACATGTAATCCCTCCCGCTACCAGTGGGGGCAGCATCTCATGTGGTTTCAGTTGTATTCAGAAACCTTTTCCATAATATGGTGGACTGATAACCTGAAGAGTCCGATGCTATCGTGTCTCTGAAAGGTTCTGCCTAACGAGTCTCGGCTCTGACCCATCGATGGTTCCTTTCATCTCATCTTCTATGTTTAAACTTTTTGTCTCCATCTGTGTTGATTTTTCAGAAGTGTGATGGAGCTCGAACTCGAAGGTCCATCAGGTCCAGATATGAAGCCACCGCTCTCATCAGCATGGTTTGGACCAACTAGGTCAGACGGCGGTTCTGTTACATCAACATCTCCCTGGTTGTTCTGGTGGAGCAGAGAAAGGAAACAGCCTCTCTGGTTGCTTTGTCTCCTCAGGTTGGTTCTCTGTGAGATGAAGCCAGTGGAGGCAGCAGAACTCCAGGATCCTCCCTGGTTCTGATGTTTATAGATGTTTGCCTGCTGAGTCGTCCCCGATAGATGATGAAGAATTCACAGCAACATGGTGGAGGTCATCTCTTTATTTGAACGGATTGGATCGGATCGTATTCTGTGTTCAGCTTTTAAAGTATTTAGAATATCTTAGTTTTATTGGATGGGGAAAACATTAGGGAAAGTTCTACTAATGGGTAATTAAAGGAGACAGGAAACTGTTTTATTGGTGTGGGGCTAAGTTATGAAGGATTCATGGTGTGATGATGGATTTCTGATTAATGCATGTTGAGATGATAATGAAATAAAAAAATGTAAAGATGAATCAGGTGATTTTAGTGTCTTTTCTTACAAGTTCTTTTAAAATTTCTAATTTAATCAAAGCAAAATCCTTTTAAAGTGACTGAAGCTGAGGTAGCATCTTATGAAAAATGTGTTAAGCTTTGAAATCAGGTTAAATAATGAAGATAGATGGTAATTCCCTGCATTTCATTAACTTCCTTTGCAAAGAGAGAATAAGACGATCATAGCAGTGCTTCCAGGCCGACGATCTGATTAGACAACGTTATCTCTCACTAAGTTAAACTCTGCAGAAAGGCTGTGAATGTCTCCACATACGGTTAATCTAAACAATTACAGACAGCAGAAGAAAATAATAAAATGTTATGAATAAACCCTGAGAAAAAGTCTAGCTTGTTATGAGAACAAACACTCTCTAATAGTAAATCAAAAACTCCTCTTGCAGGTGAGAAAGGCTTGAGTAAAAACTTTTATTAAGTGAGTGCATGCAAAATCAGCGCTCAAAAATCAATAAGTGTGAGGGGAAAACATGGCAAACATAGAAAGTAGCAGGTCAAAGTTCATCAATACAGTAGTCCCCATTGATTTAGCTTGTAAAGCGGGGAGAATGGCGCTAGAAGCTGGAAGATTGCTACTAAATTTGAGCTAAAATGGCCGCTCCCAGACTCATTAATCGTGACGAAAAATTTTTATTTATTTTTTAGTAATAAACGCTAAATTCATTAAATCACTGTATTCTTTTAAGGCATAAATAATGATCCATTAATTATTCCTTGCTTACCAGAATTTTCCATGGGAGTCCAGTTTGGAAGGTCAACTGCAATAAAACAACTTTCATCTGATTTTATTTACTCTGTTTTGGAGAATGAAATCACTTCAGCTGTTATTCCTCCAGTGTAACACCAGAGGGAGCAGCTGAGACTGCAGCTGCCTACGAGGACAACAGAGTGGAATACTAGAGGTATAACACAGATCTGAAGAAATGTTTATGTTTTAAAGAGATCATTACTGGACGTCTGCGCTCCAGACCATCAGTGGTCTCTATTGTCCCTTATTGGTCGATGCCATTTATTTCACTGCCTTGTTTAACTTCATCTGCTTCTTTAACACACACACACACAGATAATTCCCAGTAAGCCAATCAAAGCTGCCCTCCCTCTCACTGTTTGTGTTATTAGAGCTGCAGTGCTGACTCAGGCGGATCAGAGGATCTAATCTGACCCTCCTCACTTTTCACTCTCAGGCCGTCCTTTCTTCACATTTTCCTTCCTTTCCAGAGCTTTTCTCTGCCTGTAGGCGACTTTTACTTCTATAATTTAAGATTGTTTCACTTTGAATTACAAAAAAGTCTCCTGGTCCAGTTGGCATCAGAAGGAATGAGTCATGATAAGCCCGAAGAATCACAATGTGACAATTTGGAGAACAACATAGCTGGTTTCAGTGCCTAAGAATGTTCATCCCATCCCAAATGAGTATAGACCCTTTGCCCTGACCTCCCACATTATGAACCCAGAACACCAGACGTCATTCAGACGTTGCTTTGATGCCTAAATCTGGTCAGTCTGTCAGAGTCTAGATTTAGTCCAGAAATACTTGTTGAGAGCTGGACTGTGTTTGGTAGGTCAGATTTTGTCCAATAAACTTGGTTTTCAATGACTTTTCATCGATCTGAAAATCAAGGCTTTTCACCTTTCACTTTTCAACCAAATGTGACCAGCATAAGTGGGCAATTCATGTGAAGTGTCTTGCTCAAGGACATAACGACTGAGACAAACAGAACTGGCAACCCTAGGATTGTGGAACAAACTCCTGTATCCGACATTACTGCCACCCCACCCAGAACCATCAAGCCTGGACAGCTGAAGCAAAATTGGAGAAAATGAATGTCAACATGTCTTCATCACCAGGATCACTGCCTGACAGACCGCAGCTTGTGAAGTTACAGAACAGTGTAATGGCAGAGCTCCACAGGAACCTGTACTATGTGCCTTGTTTTTACCAACACTGTGGACTTAAGGCATTGCTCCAGATATTGTTGTCTTCAAAGGTAATCTCATGACACAGCAATAGTGGGGTCAATGAAGGATATAAAGAGTAGGTGGTAGACAACTTTTTGAGGTGAACCAATGATAGCTAAACATGGAAAAGACCAAGGAAATGGTGGTCAGGTCAACTCCAGTAGAAGATGCCCATCTCAGGGACAGCTGTGGAGCAGGTTACACCAGGAAGAGACCTCACCATAGGACCCAAAACTGCAAGCTGCAGTGGACTACAAAAATAGTGATAAGCAGAATGTACTTTCTCAGCATGTTTAGGGCCTATTGTCTCTGCTGTAGGATGTTTTATTAATCAGGAGTGGCTAGGTCCATCTTCTTTGGAGTGCTTTGGAACTTGAGCTAAGGTAAGGGACTCAAACAGACAGAACAAACTCATAAATATAGAGGGAGGTTGTATTAACCAGGCTGGCTCCATGTGTCAAACTTAAGGTAGCCCACAGAACCATACCTCCATCTAAAGCGGTTTCTGTATGTTTGCAGTATCTTTAAGTGGTTCTGTATTTTTGTTGCTCTGTGTTACAGTGGGACAAATGAACCTCCCCTTTTGAGATTAATAAAGTTTAGATGAGTTCTTCGGCTCTTGTTCAATTTCCCTATGATGACAGTCTGGTAATGTAGTCTGGTTGTGCAGCTTCATTCCCAGGGTCCAGGCTGAGTCCATGGGCCTCCTCAGCGTGTGGGACAGACGTATCATCCCTCCTATAATCCCTTTATCCTTGTCAGGGTGACAGAGGAGAATCCCTGCAGGAAACACTCCTTCTCTCCTTCCTCCCTTCCATCCCTCTTCTTTCCTCCAGTTTACTCCTCTTTTCTCGTCTCTCCAAAGGATTTCCTGAATCCAGTCGTGTTTATGACACTCTGGTTAGGGAGTTAGCCATCGGTTTCCATGGTGATGTGTTTGGACGGCAGTCTGGGGATCTAGGCCAAACGACCGGGGATTATCAGCTGACAGGTAAGCAGATAATGGATCCATTACAGACATATCTATGTCCATGAAATGTATGAAGTTTATACAGACTTTTGCTCACACAGAGAACTCTGAACTAAAGACTTAAAAGTCTCCAGCCTGATTTTACAGGCAGCTATGAATGTAGCATGAAGGACATGTTGGGATCAGTCACTGTGTACAGACCTGCTTTTTTTTTTAGAAGACAGAGGCTCCTAATTGAAACCATCCTATTTTAGAGCAGTCAGATAAATAACCTCCTTTCTATGGGTTTTATGTCACTTTGTCGATATTAAAGTTGGAGTTTAATGTTAAAATCTGAACCTGCAGTCTGATGGAAGAACTGTTTGCTTCAGGTGGGAGCAGAATGAAGCCAATCAATGATGAGCATCCCGGGTTTATCTTCTAGTCTTCCTGAACCCACAGGAGTCTGTTGGTCTAAACAATAAAGCTCATTCATCCAGCTCAAAATGGCAGATTAATACTTTGGCAACAATATGGACCCAAACCATGAAATGATCAAGAGGCACTTTTTGTTGAGTCTGTTTGATGGGTTGATGCATCTAACATCTATGTTTTAGGATTATTGTCTAGACTCAGGTCTGGACTTTGACTAGACCCTCCTAACCCATGAATCTGCTCTGGTCTAACCCATCCATAGTGGCTGGATGTTCAGGGAGGGTCTCCTGCTGGAAGGTCAACCTCACCCCCCACAGTCTCCGCTCCTCTGAAGCTTCCAACAGGTTTTCATTCTGGACTGTCCGTTTTAGCTCCATTCATCTATCATGATGCTGCCACCACTATGTATCACTGTGACGACGGTGGGTCCAGGGTAACAAAGATCTAGAATGAAGACCAAACCATCCAGACATGGTCTATCGTATCTTGGCTCAATGCTTTGTTGCAAACTGTAGAAAGACCTTCTCAGGACTCTCTCCTTCTCACTGATAAATAACTAAATATATCTCATAGCTGTCCTGTGGACATATCCTCTCACTTGAGCAGTCGATCTCTGCAGCTCCTCCAGAGTCACCATGGTCATCTTCTTCTCTGATATGTTCTCCTTGCCCAACCTGTCAGCCCACTAGGTCATCCTTCTTATTTTGGTAGCCCTGCAGGTGGTCCATCCTCCCATGTTAAGATGATGGACTGAACGGACCTCTGAGAGACGTTCAAACCTTGGGAATTGGTCTAGAACCTAACCCCGCCTTAAATTAAACGAAAAAACTTCACCCTTAACCTGTTTGCTGGGTTCCTTTGTCTCCATGATGCTAGTTGTTCTCTTATGTTCTCTACAGAACCAGTCAGATCAGAAACAGAACAGCTGCATTTTTACTGATGTATATTCCCAGTGATCCATGGGTGGGGTGTACGAAGTGCTTTAAAGGACAACACTGAACATCTCCTGTTTCTGGAAAATGTAATACGGCTTTTCAAATTAATTTCTGGGATTTTAGCATGTTTGGTAAATGGCTTGTACTTATATTGAACTTTTTCAAGTAAGTGGTCTTGCCCAAGGACACGGTGACACTGAAAGCCGGATCTTGAACCAACAACCCTCCTGATTCAGGGCAAACTCCTGCATTCAAACGTCACTGTCACACTATGGATGGATCAATGGATGGATGATGGATGGATGATGGATGGATGATGGATGATGGATGGATGATGGATGGATGATGGATGATGGATGGATGATGGATGGATGATGGATGGATGATGGATGGATGATGGATGGATGGATGATGGATGATGGATGGATGATGGATGGATGATGGATGGATGATGGATGGATGATGGATGGATGGATGATGGATGATGGATGGATGATGGATGATGGATGATGGATGGATGATGGATGATGGATGATGGATGGATGATGGATGGATGGATGATGGATGGATGATGGATGATGGATGGATGATGGATGGATGATGGATGGATGGATGGATGATGGATGATGGATGGATGATGGATGATGGATGATGGATGGATGATGGATGGATGGATGGATGGATGGATGGATGGATGGATGGATGATGGATGATGGATGGATGGATGGATGGATGGATGGATGGATGGATGGATTGATGATGGATGGATGATGGATGGATGATGGATGGATGGATGGATGGATGATGGATGGATGATGGATGATGGATGATGGATGATGGATTGATGATGGATGGATGATGGATGGATGATGGATGGATGATGGATGATGGATTGATGATGGATGGATGGATGGATGGATGATGGATGATGGATGGATGGATGGATGGATGGATGGATGGATGGATGATGGATGATGGATGATGGATGGATGGATGGATGGATGATGGATGATGGATGGATGGATGGATGGATGGATGGATGGATGGATTGATGGATGGATTGATGGATGGATGGATGGATGGATGGATGGATGGATTGATGGATGGATTGATGGATGGATGGATTGATGGATGTGATAATATATATCAAACCATGTTTCTGTTATACCATTATAAACTAAAGACTTTTACACAGATTGTTTTCATTGTGGACAGATGTGTTGTAGATCATTGGTAATATTCCATAGTAGCTCCTCAGAACGAACTCTAGCATCATCTGACCTGCAGCTCTAACCACCTGATAAACTTTTCTGGAACAACGGTCTACTTTAACTACTGTAGCTGTTTTACTTCAGAGCCAAATCAAATACAGAGAATGAAATAAGATGCATCAACTAAACAGCTTTGCTGGATCATCGGTTCAACTTTAGATACAAAAGAAATAGGATGATAAGCTGGTGCTGAGCCATGAGGAGCAATGAACCTCTATTGACACACCACAACACAAATGCTTCAAAGATGTGAATAAAAACACGTAGTTCAGAAAACCAACTGGAATTCGTCATGTTTAGACCTGTTTAAGTTAATTTAAGAAAACTCCACCAATCAGATTACTGCTCAGAACATAACCCCAATAAAAAAACTGCAATATCTAGGCTCTTATTTTGCTGAAATACTAATTAAAAGGAAGAACCGTTAGGAAAATTAAAGCTAATGCTGTTCTAACTGGTAAAGTTGGTCCCTCAAACAAACAGGTTGCTTTAAACATATCATGTTAAAGGTAAATATTCAGGGAATTGATCCAGTTTCCTATTGATTGAAAATGCTGCACCCCAGGAGGTAATTGTTACTTTGATCATGCATGTAGATCAGTTATGATAGAATACAACGAACCAGTGTTAAAAACACTGTAAGTCCAGAGGGATCAATATAGCACATTTCAGACAACTCAAAGTTCTGTATGTTAAAACAAGGCAAAGGAAACATGACAGGAAAAGTAATCTGCAGTGGCATTATGGTAACCACATAATTATAGAATACAATATAGACAATGAAAATAGATAATTGAAATAGAAAAAAACATTAATGATATAAATGGTTAAAGGATGAAATGGAAGGAAAGCTGGGCAGCAATCTGAACTTACAGTGTTTAGATAGCACAATCAAAAGTCTCCTAAATGAATAAGTCTTTAATCTGGATTTAAAGCAATCAGTGGTTTTAGGACTTTTACAGATTTATCTGAGGATATTCCAGACTAGTCAAGCATAAGAACCAGAAGCTGCTTCTCCATATTTGGTTCAGATTCTAAGAGTAGATTGTCATGATTTGGTTTGAGGTTTTTGTGAGGACCCAAATGCAGAGGGTGAGAGGCAGGGGTGAGTTCTTTGAAAATTTTATGGGATAACACAGGCAGCAAAAACAGGTATCAAAGAAATCCAGAATAAAAATTAAACACAAACCAGAACCATGGAGACATAAGGGGGAAACAATCACAAGGAGCCAGAGTGAGACAAAGTAAGACGGAGAACCAGCACTGAGGGACTGAACAGGGAGTGTATTTATGACTGACTGAACAAAGGTAGGACTAATGAGCTGATAAGGAGCAGGTGTGACCAGAGCTGATGAGGAAGAGAAAAGAAAACACAATAGGGCGATAAAGGACAAGCAAAGACCTAAGAAACTTAAATAAATCCAGAACATACCAATAAAGCAAGAAAACAAAGAAAAACATGGATAAACGTGAAACTGAAAACTTAGAAAAAACCAACAGAACTGCGATCGTCACAAAGATCTGATCCAGTAGACCTGAGAGGTCTGGCTGTCGATCCACTTCCAACCGGTCTGTAATCAGTGATGGGACTAACGGCGTTGAAAGTAACGGCGTTACTAACGCCGTTACCTTGTTTTAGTAACGAGTAATCTAACTAATTACTTTGACTGTAACTATAACGCAGTTACCATTGCAGGCACCCCGTTACTGCGCGTTACTCAGGTCGCACAATGAGCCTTTTTTCATGATAGGACTCGTGCGCAGCTGCGTGAAGCTGACACCCCACCCACGTCAAAAAACTCTGCAAATAGACTGAATGGTTAGTGCAACGTTAGTGCAGATTTGTGCAGAAAAAAATATTGTTTGTGCTACTTTTGTTTAAGAGATATTAAAGATTTATTTTAGGTCATCAAGAGGTGCGCGCCTTGTCATGAGAGAGGGGAGGAATAGATTCCGTCTGTCAGTTGAATAGGTGGGTGTTTCTGCTGGTGGGTGTTAACGTACAGCACACACAGAGAGATGGAGAGTGAGGATGACTCCAGCAGCAAAACAGCGTTTTCCACATGGAAATACCAGTGTTACGTAGAGCTGCGTTTCCCCATCACATAACGGTTTCCTCTGCATCTCCACACAGCGCAGGCGGCAAGAGTCACCGCGCAAGCGACAGGAAACGCGCATGCTCGCTAAAGGCGCGCAACAGTCGCCCTGTGCTCGCGCCACAGGAGAACTATGGAGAGCGTGAACGATCAAATGATTAACCTGACAACAGCCAGAAATGATAGCCTGTATGGAGAAAGGGAGAAATCTGGATGGATGGATGGATGGATGGATGGATGGATGGATGGATGGATGGATGGATGGATGGATGGATGGATGGATGGATGGATGGATGGATACTCTGCCTTCTCAACCTACTGTTTTTTTTTATTTTAAACATTATTTGATGGCCTTTGTGGCAGGGATGGAGATCCATATTTTATGTCACACACAGAGTATACATCTAGATAGATAGATGGATAGATAGATGTTGCAGTATCTATAACAACCCAAACACACAGGATTTCAGAATTAGACATCCCCAGTTATTAATTTCATATACTCACCGGATCTGAATGTCCTGTTATAAACCTTCACATGGCGGTCCCCCCTGATGTCATTTACGTTGAGTTGCAATAAATGCTAAACTGTCTGCAGGTTCTTGTCTTTGTCTTCCGCTCTATTCAGCTGGCTTTGGAAACACACCACGATAAGGTGGGGGCCGGGTGGTGAGGTTTACGGGGGCGAGAAATGCAAAAGTAACGCAATAGTTACTTTTACTAGTAACTAGTTACTTTTATTGTGGAGTAACTCAGTTAGTAACTCAGTTACTTTTTGGGAGAAGTAACTAGTAACTATAACTAATTACTTTTTCAAAGTAACGTGCCCAACACTGTCTGTAATGCATTTTAGAGTGATTTCTAGACTAACAGAAGGATTTTAAAGTCTATTCTCTGAGCCACAGGGAATCAAAGGAAGGACTTCAAAACCAGGCTGATGTTCTCCAACTTCTCAGTTCTAGTGAGGACACAGGCAGCAGCAGTGTGGATCAACTACAGATGTCTGATCTGCATATTAGGCAGACCTGTAGAGACGCCGCTGCAGGGATCAATTCTACTAAGGATGAACAAAGCTGGAAGTTGTTTTTCAACATTAGTCATTTAATGCTTGAGATGCTCTTCAGATGACAGAAGGTCCACTTTGTTCCTGTCTCTATGAGAATCTGAAGGTTCAGGTCTGAGTCCATCACTACACCCGGATTTAAAGCCTGATTTTTGCTTTCTAAGTTGATGAACTGAAGCTGTGAGCAAAGTTTTTAACTCTCTTCTTTTGGCATTAAACTAGAATGGAGTGATTTATATTATCAAAAAGAGTGTTGATTACCCCACAGGACACCAAGAATATATCTAAAAGACAACTTAACCCTTTTGTTAATGCTGATATTAACCCGGAACAATTTACCTCTTTCCCAGCCAGAGGAACTCCACCATGGCTAAAGTAGCACCACTAATCCCTCACCATGCATCTGGGTTAAATCCTCCCACCATTGTGCTACAAGATATGGAGGAGGAGCCTGGTGACATCACAGACCGGGTCAGGTAAGTCGATACTAAATCTCCTCTCCCTGGAGGTAGGGGCCACCACTGCTGCCATAAAGTAGGTGAAAATACCAGGTTTGGTAGGCCCTCCAGCTCATCCATAGAATACCCAAATACAAACATGTCCAGAAGCTTGAGGTGGACCATGATATCTGCTTGCTTTTTCCAGAAGTACCCAAAGAGCTGGACCAGGAGCCCTGTTCAACGTCAACAACAGCAACAACAACGAGGAAGAGGAGGAGTAAGAGACCCGCCTAAGGCGGCATTTATTCAATATTTACGCTCAGAAAAAGCCTGGCTGTGTTTAGTCTATACACATCATGCTTAAAGTCAAAAATATATCAAATCACTTCTATCCTCCACTTTTCCAGGGAGGGAAAAAAGAGGAAAAAGAAAGAGAAGAAGGAGAAAAAAGAAAAGAGAGAGTGAGTTTTAATTATCTTTTTATCAGGACAGTGATTTGCTGCGACTTGACTGTCCTGGAGTTTGTTCTGAACCTTTCACTGTTCACTCGTCTGTCTTCTCTGTTTATCAGAAAGGAGAAGCAGGAGAAAAAGGAAAGGAAGGAGCAGAGGCAGAAGGAGAAGAAAGAGAAGGAGAAGGAGAAACAGAAAGAAAAGGAAAAACTGGAAAAAGAGAAGAAGGCTAAGGAGGAGGCGTACGTTTACAGGAACATCCAGCTCATTTTCATGGTAAAATCATTTACAATAATTCATACATCTGGCTTTTCTTCCTCCAGGGCACGAGAAATCGCAGTGATTGATCCAGCTGGAAACACTTACTACTATTGGCTCTTCATCGTCACTATACCTGTCATGTACAACTGGACCCTGATTATAGCCAGGTACCACAAAAACACCCTACCATCAGCTTATCCAACATGCAGAGAAGACAACCACCCACCATGTGTATTAGCAAGACGGTTTGTAGGTATTGTTTGGTTCCTACAGCGTCCAAATGAACATAACGCACCATGTCAGGTTAGCCTTCAAAGTCAAGCATACCGATTCCTACATGTCTTGTGACAAATGCCTTAATTTCCCTTATTGCCATAGTGTCATCGCTTGCACCTTGTACCTAGTAAGGCACCTGGCACCACAGCTTTGCTTATACCAGTGTGGCGCAGTGTGCTTCAAGTCGGTGCGGACTCACCCTGGAGTCTGTGTGGACTCACCCTTGAATCTGCACACAATCACCCTTGAGTCTTTGCAGACTCACCCTTGAGTCTCTGCACATTCACCCTTGCGTCTGTGCGTACTCACCCTTGAGTCTGTGCATATTCACCTTTGAGTCTGCACACACTCACCCATGTCTCTGTGTGGACTCACCCTTGACTCTACACACATTCACCCTTTAGTCTTTGCAGACTCACGCTTTAGTCTGTGCAGACTCACCCTTGAGTCTTTGCAGACTCACCCTTGAGTCTATGCACATTCACCCTTGAGTCTGCACACACTCACCCATGTCTCTGTGTGGACTCACCCTTGACTCTACAAACATTCACCCTTTAGTCTTTGCAGACTCACCCTTTAGTCTGTGCAGACTCACCCTTGAGTCTTTGCAGACTCTCCCTTGAGTCTATACACATTCACCCTTGCGTCTGTGCGTACTCACCCTTGAGTCTGTGCATATTCACCCTTGAGTCTGCACACACTCACCCATGTCTCTGTGTGGACTCACCCTTGACTCTACACACATTCACCCTTTAGTCTTTGCAGACTCACCCTTTAGTCTGTGCAGACTCACCCTTGAGTCTTTGCAGACTCACCCTTGAGTCTTTGCAAATTCCACACAGACATTTTTGGACATGCTTAAGACCATGGTCTTCAGCCAGAAAGAGTATTTTAGTTCCTTCAGATCAGGAATAAATTCCTACCCAAGATGATAGAGTTTGCTTTCTACCGGGTCTGATCTTCCAGGTATTGTTAGAGGATAGAGGCCAGCAGACATAGTCCTTAAAGTTAATACCTTGTTATCGAGCTACAGTAGGACTGGTTTCATCATTTTCAATGTAAAACCTGAGGAAGATGCATTAAATCCCAGAAATACATTTAGATAGCAAGTGTATTTTTATCCCTTAACAATAGCAACAGCAGGCAAGGTAGAAAATCCATGAGACATTCAGTCGAGGTTAACCAGTGAACACTTGTATTAATTACCCCAGTGCTGCGTGTTGCCACTCTTTCCTTCAAATCATTGTTTTTCTAGTTGCAAGGCTTAGTGTTAGTCCTAGGTAGTTTTTCCAGTGTAAGTCTGGTTCTCCGATGTTCACTGAACTTGTCTTTAAGAGACAGCCACAGCAGGACTTTCTCTAAGTCTAACAAATACCATATTAAATAAGTCTTATTCTACTAGTTTGATCCATGGTCATAATGCCTGTGTTTGTTTTTTAGGGCATGTTTTGAGGAGCTACAGTCTGACTATCTGATCATGTGGTTCATTGTGGACTTCATCTGTGACGTCGTCTATGTTTTGGACATGGTTTTCAGGAGCAGGACAGGTCTGAATGCACGCAGCCTCCTGTAGCCATGTTAGTGCTTTTTCATGTGTGTACCAATTAAGGTGATGTGTGTCTGCAGGTTACCTGGAGCAGGGTCTGCTGGTGAAAGATAAGCTGAAACTTCAAGAGCGCTACATGAAAACCTTCCAGTTTAAACTGGATATGGTTTCCATGATTCCCACCGACATCCTGTACCTAGTTTTTGGTACCTCCTACCCTGAGATCCGCCTCAATAAGCTGTTACGTTTCAACAGGTACACAGCACTCACCAATCAGCTTTTGATATCTCCCAACGAGTAAAAACCTGCCTATCTTTCCTATATCTTATTCACTTAACCAGGTTATTAGCCTCCAATCTGTGGCAATAGAAATGCAAATGTTTAGAACTACTATCTTTAAATGATTTTTACTTTCTAGACCTGGATTATCCACCTCGAGACTTTTTCAGATGCAAAGAGCAGGAAACTTATTCAGGTCTGGAAAAAATGTGATCACTAGATTGAACAATGGACTTTTTACACCAAGCTTCAGATGAATCATTCTTGAGAGTTCAAGTAGGGGTATGGGGTATTTAGGCTACAATCACACTGGAGGCATTAATGCTCTATTCTATTTTTGTGAAATCGAATTAATTTGTGTGGTCGTTTACATTTCCAAATATATGCAACTTATATGTGATCTCCTGTGTGAACTGCATTCACACAACTTAAATGTCCCGCATGTGCAGTAGAGGACGCAATGACATCAAAAGCCAGCGAGAAAGCTCTGTGTTTACGGAAGTAAACACGGTCGGTTGTGCTGGAGCACATCTAGCGACCTTTCCCAACCTTAGCCAGTACATTAACAGCACAAACTTTTCAAGATGGTTGAAAATAAAGACCAGCTTTTCACATTACCACATCCATAGTTTTGTTTCTCGCCGCTTCTGCATAGCAAGACATAGAGTAGTGACCTTTATCCAGTATTAATGGCGTACAGGTCAGGTGAATGCTACCTAGCTGTTCAGACACAGGTGGCATTTGAAAAGATCAAATACGTATTGGATTCAGGACCATAGAGCCAAGTGGCCTGGGTCGCACCGGAAAGAATCAGATCTGTGTTTTTCAGACTGTCATGAAAAGATCAGATACAGGTCGCATATGGGGAAAGAAATCAGATTTGGGTGTGTCAGGGTCAATAGTCAAATCAGTCCTTCTCACAGTTTTTACCCCATTGGCAAGAGATTTTAACCAGTGTGTCGCTGTCATCTTCTATGGCTACTCTTCAGGATGATGGAATTCTTCCAGCGGACTGAGACCAGAACCAATTACCCCAATGCTCTTCGTATCTCCAACCTTGTCATGTATATCCTCATCATCATCCACTGGAATGCCTGCCTCTACTACTCCTTCTCCAAGGCAATTGGTAAGTCATGTTTAGTAAGTTGGATACTGTGAAATGGGTATGCTGCTTAATGATTAATTTCATTCTCCATATTTTCCTTTCAGGTTTTGGGTCTGACAGGTTTGTGTATCCCAACCCAGCAGACCCGGAGTTTGGTCGCCTGGTGAGGAAGTATGCCTACAGTATGTACTGGTCTACGCTAACACTCACCACCATTGGCGAAACACCTCCCCCTGTGGAGAACTCAGAGTACTTCTTCGTTGTAACAGACTTCCTGGTGGGTTTACCTTTCTACTTCACAGTAACCTATTGGCCAGTGTTCTTAGTCGTGCAACAGTTACAAGTTGGAAAAACAATGGTACATTTTGTACCAAGTGAGAATGCTAATCTCTGTTAGCAATGCAACTTGATAATTCTCCTTATGCAATTTATGCATCAAAAAATGCAGAATCATACTCAGTATTACAAGAACTAACAAGACAGATGTGAGAAAACAGCCACTAAAACTGCAAACGTGTCTTATATGTGGCATCCATTGGGTTTAATGAGCAGCTCCGCAAGTTAAATGTTGATGTCAGAGATTGATGTATGTTAATACCCGATGCCATAAATTTGTCACAGGAATCCTAGAAGCTTATTAATGCTGTGTGAAGTCTAAAGACCTATCGGAGCTGATACCATAAGTGGTCTGTCCCTGTCTCCAGGTGGGTGTGTTGATTTTTGCCACCATCGTTGGTAACGTCGGCTCAATGATCACAAACATGAATGCTGCAAGAGCCGACTTTCAGGCCCGGATTGATGCCATCAAACAATACATGAGCTTCCGAAAGGTCAGATTCCCTCTTCATGCTTTTCCCATCATGTTGTTCTTGAATTAATCCAAAGCTGATATTATCCAAGTCACCTGGGGGAAGTGTAACTTGCATAACTTTTAGCAATCAACAAGCAATAATTTGAACATCAGTGCCCTTGTTGAATAACGAGGTAACTTCTTCTAAGATAGTAGACATTTTCCCAAACACCTGCTCTCTTTGCAGGTAACTAAAGACCTGGAGAAGCGAGTGATTAAGTGGTTTGACTTCCTGTGGACCAACAAGAAAGCTGTTGATGAGAGAGAAGTGCTGAAGTACCTTCCAGACAAGCTGAGAGCTGAGATTGCCATTAATGTGCACCTGGACACCCTGAAGAAGGTCAGTTCTTACTTCTAGTCCTTCCTCTTTAGATTAGATGGGAAGGATACAGACCTACAGTACGGACTTCTGTGTTTGGTTCTGCAGGTCCGTATCTTTGCAGACTGCGAGGCTGGACTGTTGGTGGAGCTGGTGTTGAAGCTGCAGCCTCAGGTCTTCAGTCCAGGAGACTACATCTGCAAGAAGGGTGATATTGGTAGAGAGATGTACATCATCAAGGAGGGAAAGCTGGCTGTGGTTGCTGATGATGGTGTCACGCAGTTTGTTGTTCTCAGTGAAGGAAGTTATTTTGGGGAGATCAGTATCCTGGCCATCAAAGGTGAGATTCCATCACAGGAAGCTGGAGAGTCATGATGCAACTATAGATTCAATGTCCTTCTAATTAGAAGCACATTTTCTTGTTGTCCAATAGGCAGTAAGGCAGGAAACAGAAGGACAGCCAACATCAGGAGCATTGGGTACTCCGATCTCTTCTGTCTTTCCAAAGACGACCTTATGGAGGCACTGACGGAATATCCTGATGCTAAAGCTCTGCTGGAGGAAAAGGGAAGGCAGATTCTAATGAAGGATGGACTTCTGGATCTGGAGGTACAGCCTGGATATTGCTCATTGTACACTGCTAAGGGGTTCTTGAAAGTAGAAACCTACTGACGTTTTTTGTCTCGAAGGTGGCAGCACAGGGCCCAGACCCCAAGGAGATTGAAGAGAAGGTGGACCGGATGACCAGCAACCTTGACACGCTGCAAACCCAGTATGCCAGGCTGCTGGCAGAGCATGAAGCCACTAACAGCAAGCTCAAACACAGAGTCACCCGACTGGAGAAGAAGCTGGCCCCACCAGTGCCACTGGAAGAGGCACCTGGTGACGCCCCACCCCCTCCAACACCTGAGACCACCAAAGGAGAAGAGAAGAAATAATAGTATGGAGGACTAACAATTTGAACTTTAGTTTACACCTGGATAAAAGGACTTCAAGAAGAGGATCAATGAAATCAATTCTCAAACTTGACAAGATTCAAATAAAAGTCTGAAATCCTAAACAAAGATTTTATTTTGGATCCTTAGATTTAAATCTGTCTGAGCTAAAAGCAGTTTTGAAAACCAACTTTTGGAGAGAGTGGTGGGAAATATGGGAAACAATCTAAGGTCCTGCTGGAAAAGAGACTCTGGATTTCAGCAGATAATGAAAGGACAGTTGCAGCTCAGAGGAAAAGGTTTCATCTTCTTGTAGTCTGGTTTTTTTCTTATGTTTGAGTTATAAACTGTTGTATTATTATGTAACATATTTGGAAAAAAGCAAATGTCCTTCCTGCTTTTCTGAACATAGATGAGAATCCTCATTTTGAGACTTGATTACTAGTCAGTCTGTGGTTGTATAAATGTACAGATAAAACCCTTGAGCCCGCTTTGACTGGGTTTGGGCTAAAAGTCAATTTCCTCCAAACATGCTTTCGTTTTCTGGTTACCGGCTGCTTAGACCGGGCATACACTGTACAATCTATTCAATTATTTCTCTCAGCTACATCTCAGACTGTATGACAAGTTCACAGCTCACTATGTCTGTTCTTCCACTGTACGGCCCGACGCCCTGATCCGATCTACCTGCTCACACTGCATGACCAAAAACCACACGTCGGACTCATCACCGAGAGTTGCCGCTGGTTAGACTTGTAAATCTGGAAGAAGAGGAACTCCCTTGTTTGCACATGCGCAGTTAGGTTCCGGTAAATCGGCTCGTAGCTCTTCTTCAACAGCAGGATTTACCCACAAACAACCTATGACGGCCGCCTGAATTTTAAACATTTTTGATTTTCTTCCGATCTTACGATTCCTGATCAGGAGGTGGTCGTGACAGGCTGATCGCCCTTTGTTACGCCCTGTACACTACACGACACAGGACACACAATGAGGCTGGAACTCGGCCTGATCAAATAAATTCTGGCATGTCTGGAGAATTGGCCAAACTAGGGCAAAGACTCGTACAGTGTATGCCTGGCTTTACCAGAACTACTGACAGGGATTGTCCACTTGATGAATGTGGATTCAGAACCAGTTCCTTTGTGCTTTCACTGATGCTTTTCAATAAGGAGCCCCTTTTCTACTGAAAGCCCCAAGCTTTGTATTACCCAGCTAATAGGAAACCCAACCAATTTGTGATTTTCCTTTTCCACTCTCTTAAAGGCCCGCGGACAATCGTGCAAATCAACAGCGTAACGTGGTTGGCAAAAAACATTAACCAACATCACATGTTGGAGCGAGATCGTGAACACACTGTGGGGGTTACACACGCATTTTTCTCTCCTTTTGCTGCACAATATAATGAGAACATGTAAGAACAGGTTACTAACTGCGACTACAGGCCATGTCTGAGAGCTCTTCTTGGCTAACACCCTCCAGCGCCGACTACGCCAAGTCTTTTGTGGCTCTGGTGATGTGTATGCAGGACTGTGTCCCAGGATCTTATCCAGCTAGTCATACCAGTGGTTTGCCCAGCGGCCTGATCCTTGACAATTGTTGAGGTCCTTTAGCTTCGTGTAGTCCTTCATTTTCTTGAGCTTTCCCGTGCCTGCTGTGTGGTGTGCAGAATGTTTATTTGAAACTATACTTTCAGGGATCATTTCTGTATTTTCGGACTTGAGAAATGTGTTTCTATGTTGTATGGTCTCTGGGGAGTGGCGGCCTAGTGGTTAGGGCATTGCGCTTGGATCCCAGAGGTTCTGAGTTCAAGCCCCACCCCCACAGACTGCCACTCTGGGTCCCTGAGCAAGACCCTTAACCCCACACTGCTCCCCGTGTACCACACAATGGCAGCCCACTGCTCCCCAAGGGGAGGGGTTAAACGCAGACAGGGAATTTCGTTGCTTTGTACTGTAATGACAATAAAAGTTCAATTCTAATCTATTTGAGCCAGTCTAGCTGCAGTCATGGCTTAATTATAATCACTGAGCATCGCTGACTCAAACTCCCTCTAAATTTCATCCTTGGCAAAACAACTAAACAAAACGCCGGTTTAAAGATAGGGGGATGGGTGGACTTAACAAAAAAGATGGCAGACAGTTCACCAATCATTGCTACTTGCACCCCTGCTTCCTCCAACAGCCAGACCAAGCAGAGCAAATTACTGCGTAGCTTTAGGGACCAAATCCAGTGACTGGGGATGGAAATTAGTTGGGTAATTCTGTTTGGAAAAGCAAAGAGGAATTTGCTTTGTGCTGCAGTGGAAAAGGGGTTTTGGTCAGCAAACCTTGAAGCTGAAATAAATGTTTTATAAGAAAAAGAAAACCTGGATCTGTATTTTTTATTTCCTGTGAATTAATCTGGATCAATAGAAAGACCACATCTGTCAGGCATCTATCTCCCCACTGATACTCTCTACCTTATTCCCAAACTAAAGTTCACTCCATATTGGTCAGGGGTCCGAAACACAAACCGTTCAAAGCACATTTAGAGGATGTTTGGCTCAACCTGCTGCTGTGAAGCAGGATTCTCCATCAGTGGCGGCTGGTGAAAAATATTTTTGGTGGGGCTGATATAGCCTAGTGTATGTCTCCAACTAATCCGGAATGAGAATTCAAATAAACAATTGGACAATACATACAATTTAACAGTAATGATTTAATTAACTATATAATAACAGTAACAGTGATGATTTTGGTCACTGTGACGGGGTTCTTTGGCCTCCAAGAATCCAGGCTCAGTTGGGTTACGGGTGTTGGTGATTTATTGAGCTCAAAAACTCAAAACAGGGTGCAAAAGAAACTAAACATGTACAAGATCCTCTGGGCCTCAGCCTCCCTCCAGTTACCAGCAATGTAACAAAGAAACAGAAAACAGAAATGGCCGCTCTTCTTCCTACAGCCCTCATTAAAGTTTAAGCCCCTACAGGCTCTCTTATTTCTGATTTCTTCTCATTAATCAGTTTTGTCCACATATTACCTCCACAAACAATTGATGTACAAAAACAAATAATTTTTACAACTTAATTATTTTACACAGATTCATTGACTTATTCAATTGCACCAAACTGGGTTTGAACCCAGCAAAGACGCAGCCAGACTGAAGATGACAAGTCCCCATAGCATAAACACGTACACACACACACCCACCACACCCACCACACACACACACACCCACACCCCCCACATACCACACACACACACGGCTAACCCCACTGAAATATTAAGTGTGCACCCTCAATACGCCAGCAGGTAACCAGGAACAGCTTGTGTGTTTTAAGTTCATGGAGCTACTGGGCTCAGCGCGAGCGGATTGGTCCTCACAAACACAGTATAACAGGAATGTGTGTGTGGCGCGCAAAGTTAGAGGATGTGGATTCGTCACAGTCACAATAACCATGACATGAAATGTTCATATCCTACAACAGGGATGTTCTTCTGGCAAACGGGTAGATAAATAAGGATCTCACCAAATTTGGTGGAAGCTGCATCTCGTTCGTTACATTCGCCATCGTCCCTCTAATTGTCTGCACATGGCTTGGGTGCAGAAGCCTGTTAAAGCGCAGTATTTTCAGCGCCCCAAGACCATAAAGTTCTGAGACGCTGATTGGCCATTAAATTCACCTAGCAATAGTACATGATTGGCAGATTCTCTGCAAATGTGGGTCAGTCTGATCAGAGCCCCCAGAACAGAGACGGTAGGAGTCTGTCTGTGGAAATCCACAAATTAATGACAGTAGATAGGGAAATGTAGTTTATATAATTTGTTTTGCTTATATGTAAACACTCTAGAGAGTAAAACTGACATTTATGAGTTAATTTCTAAAAATATATTTTACGTTTCTCTCTTCTTATCAGGGAGGGCGGTGCCCCAGCGCCCCCTGTGGGCCGGCCGCCACTGTTCTCCACCATGAACAGAATCAACAATAAATCTGGATCCAGGCTCAAAATGAGCTCCTTGATATGTGCTTGAGAATGGCTTAGTCTCCAGGTGTTTTATAAAATATGGGAATCAGGAAACTATCTAGATAACAAACAGATTGTTGTTCTCTACTTCAAAAAACACTTTAGATTTTAAAATGGAAAAATGTTTGTTTTTGTTTTTTTTTATAAAAAATTCAAACACCTGCTTTTTATTTCAGTGTTAAATTCTGTTTAAAGTAACAGTGAGCACGAATGATCCAGGTATGGAGGCCTTAGTCCTCAATGCGGCCAACCCGGGTTCGAATCCGACCTCTGGTCCTTTCCTGCATGTCTCTAATGCTCCCTTTCCTGTAAGCCTACTGTTGGAAAAATTAGCCACTAGTGCTGCAAAAACTAAAAAAAAAACCTTAACTGGTTGATTTTCTTTATTCGTACCCCGCTGATTTTTAATTGGTTACACCTGATCTAGTGGTTTAGGTATTTAATGGTTAAAGGAGAATAAACTGAACTGTACCTGGAGACCACACTAAGGTATTTTCTAACTGATGACATTTTACTCCCTCTAATCGACTCTACGGTGCAGCAATTTCCCAATAAATATTCATGAAATGTCTTCAGAACTGATCTTTTTTCAGTTTTATTTTGAATTAATTTTATGTTTTAAGGACATTAACTGTAAACCTGTCAGGTAGTAATCCTGTGTGAAAATCCCTGTAGGTTCCAAAAATACAACCAGCTAAGTATACATTTAATGTAAATTAAAAGTAATTTCATCATTTCGATTTCGGACGTTTTAGGTAAAAAAGTACAAATACTTTGTTCCCTTAGTTAAGTAGACACTTTGGCTATCTATCCTTCACTGGAGTAATTCATTTTTTTTTTAGTTTTAATGGCAGTAGTAGCTCGTTTTTTCGACAGTAGGCTGATAGAAAAGGTGGTATGAGAGAGGGGGGGAGTCATGCGGGAAAGGCCTAGAGGTTGAATTCGAACCCGGGTCGGCCAGGTGGAGGACTAAGGCCTCCGTTCATGGGTCATGCACCAACTACTGCACCGCCAACATAAAATTTTAAAAATAGACTCATAAGTTTTGTTTCATTTAAAGATATGGTGGAGGACTTTTGAAAAGACCGACTGTCTCCACTTAAAAAAACAGAAAATGCAAATGCGCAACCCTGAGAGGGAACACCTATTAAATGGGTCATTGTACTAGGCCACCTTATCAATTCACTTTATTCTGTCCAATATGCTGCCTGTAGTGTCTTTAAATGTCCAGCAGGTGACAGTATAGTAGACACAGCTAGCCCTGAACTCACACCTTACTCCTAAACCGTTGGTCCCCAGAAGTACATATAAGTCCCTCAATAGTAGCACGTTTCAGGGAAATTGTCCCCATAGGGTGATAAAAAGATGGTCACACACACGCGCGCGCTGACAGTGACACGTCACGTTTTCCGTATCGACGCCTGTTTAGGGGAAATGTGGGAGTTGTAGTTTCTTTACCGTTCAGAATGAACGAGGGGGCACCTGACAAAGAACTACAAGTCCCAGTAGGCAGCGCTCTGCATTGCGCATGCGCAGCGGTGAGCGGCGTCCAGCGGCTCCCTTCTGCTGAGGTGTGTTTACCTTCACTCTGCGGCGGAGTTTGTCTGTTTTCTGGGTTTTTCTGTTGATGGAGCAGCCGAGGCGGCTCCAGCGGACAGCTGTGTGTTTATAGGCGCCATCTTTAACCACATTCTCTCTTCTCTCTGACTGTTTTTACCGCGAATCTCTGCAGATGCTAGCTTGTTTCTGTTAGCCGGTTTGAACCCAACCTGGCCGTTAAAATGACTCAGCTGGCTTAAACCGGTTCTGAGAAAAGAAATATCTTTACATTAAATAAGAAAATATTCAGACATTTATTGTGTGTCATTTTAGGCTGTTTAAACCGATAAAAAGTCGAACTTTGGTCCATTTTTGCTCCAAATCAGGACTTAAACACCTGGCGCATGCGCACTGGTCGTGTCCCGAACCAGATCTGACTGGGTTTGATCCTGGTTCTGGTCACAGGGTGACCCAGAGATGTCTGATGTTCACCTAAAGATTTGATTTTTCTGTCCTCAGAGGTGGTTGCCATGGAGCCGGCCTGGAGGCAGCAGGGCAGGGGGCGGGGCAGAGGTCAGGATGCTGCAGGTGAGAGGCCCCGCCCCCAGCAGAAGGACAGGCCAGGTGTCTCTGCAGGACGAGGAGCAAAGACCAAGACAAACCCGTCTCCTGAACCTGCTAAAGGTGATGAGGATCCCAGGGTGGCGCCGGTCAGCGGGTCAGAACCGGGTCGCGTACCTTACCTGTCCCTCCTCTCTGTTAGCTGTAGGCGAGGCGGTCCAGTCCAAGTTTGAGGAGATTCGGAGGTCCAACCAGGCTGCAGCTAAGCGCCTGGTGGAGAGCCACGTCAGCTCCTCTTCCTCTGATGAAGAAAACGATGATGCTGGAGACAGACAGAGGGGGAAGGTCCTGGAGTCCACCTTCACCACCTACACCAGCCAGACCGGTGAGACGGCCCAGACCACAGCGGTTCTGTTCTGACTGAGCCGGTGATGTTGGACCAATCAGAACCGAGGAGCTTCCTCATGTTCTGTGTCCTCTGGAATGTTTTCTGCCGTTATAAATGAGATCCTCAGGTTTAAAGATGGCCGCTCATGCTGTCCCTCTCTCTGTTCAGGTGGCGACGCCTCGGGTCTGCACAGAACCAATCAGTACCTCAGTGACCTGTTCCAGTCCGGTGCGCTAACGTGTTTGATCTGCATCGCCTCGGTCAGGAGGACGCAGCAGGTCAGACGCAAATACAAATACTAAACCCACGATACAAATACAAAACCCACGACACTAAAACAAAACCCGCGACGCTAAAACAAAACCCACGACACAAATACAAAACCCAAGACACAAATACAAAACCCACGACACTAAAACAAAACCCACGATACAAATACAAAACCCACGACACTAAAACAAAACCCGCGACGCTAAAACAAAACCTACGACACAAATACAAAACCCACAACGCTAAAACAAAACCCACGATACAAATACAAAACCCACGACACTAAAACAAAACCCGCGACGCTAAAACAAAACCCACGACACAAATACAAAACCCACAACACTAAAACAAAACCCGCGACACAAATACAAAACCCACGACACTAAAACAAAACCCACGATACAAATACAAAACCCACGACACTAAAACAAAACCCACGATACAAATACAAAACCCACGACACTAAAACAAAACCTGCGACGCTAAAACAAAACCTACGACACAAATACAAAACCCACAACGCTAAAACAAAACCCACGATACAAATACAAAACCCACGACACTAAAACAAAACCTGCGACGCTAAAACAAAACCCACGACACAAATACAAAACCCACGACACTAAAACAAAACCCACGACACAAATACAAAACCCACGACACTAAAACAAAACCCACGATACAAATACAAAACCCACGACACTAAAACAAAACCCGCGAAACAAGTACAAAACCCACGATACAAATACAAAACCCACGACACTAAAACAAAACCCGCGATACAAATACAAAACCCGCGACACTAAAACAAAACCCGCGATACAAATACAAAACCCAAGACGCTAAAACAAAACCCACTATACAAAAAAAACACAAAAACAAAACCAACAACACTAAAATGTAACCAGTGACACAAAACAAAACCCGCGACACAAAAAAAAACGAAGCCTGCCACACAAAATCAAAAACTGCTGCAAAAAACTAACCTGCGACACAACACAAAAATGCAATATAAAAACAAAACCTGCGACACAACCGAAAGCCAAGACATGACAACAAAAGCTGCGACAGAAACAACAGGGCCTGCAGCTCATCTTGTAATGCGGGATCCAAAGGTCATCATTAGCAGCGTTACTCGCCGTCAGTCCGTCCCACTTAGGTGTGGTCTGGACGTATACATGAATATAACTAATCACTGCAGACCGCCATCGCCAGGTGAGTTGGGGTGCCGCCATCTTGAATGGACGACGGCTCCACTCAGTGTTATTCTAAATGGTTGGATCAAGAAAGTATCAGTGTTTAAATTAGGAAGATGGCGAATATTTGGCATCTGAAAATGATCATTAACTCTGAAACAACATGGCTGAAACTTCTGATGACGCCACCAACATCACATCCAGCTTCAGAGAAAAGGATAGCTAGTAAACTAGCATGCAGTTATCAGAGGTTAGCATGCAGCAGACTGGTTTCACTGAGAGAGACTGACTAAACGGTCAGGTTGCCCGCTCAGGTTAGCGGCACAAACCGCCGTAGAAAACCAAACATCAGCATTCTGAATATGAGAAGAACGCAACACGGAGAAGGAAACCCACAGCAAACATGGCCGCTGCGTCTGTTTGAAAAGGCAGAACAGAAAGATGTCGGTGGGAAATAAATGTTCTGGTAGTTTTGTTTTGATTTAATGAAACATCTTTTAAAAAATAATCAGTTTTGTGGGCGTGCCTTTCCACATCGTTTTAAATGAAAAGACCTGTTCTTATATTTGAGACATTACGGTATTAACTCCATGGCAACAGGCTGAGATGTTTCACTCACCTGTGCTGTGAATCTTATAAATATGGCGAACATAACGTGGTCCACTGTAACTTTTAACACTAGATTATTATGATGGATATGTTAGCGGAACACAGCAGCATTTTTTCCTTTTGCATTTATTAGTATATGTAGAGTAAACATGTATAATAGAAAGATGATCCTGGGGCCGTTCAGAAGCGGCCCCGTTGGACCGGGCCCCTCTGGCTCCAGCAGAGATGTGACCCCTGCCGTCTGCATCTAGGTGTGGAGCTGCTCCGGATGCTTCACCCTCTTCCACCTGCCCTGCATCCAGAAGTGGGCCAGAGACTCCGTCTTCCTCATCTGCTCGGCCACCGATGAAGACTTCGGACAGAAGCAGCATCCCTGGCCCTGGTGAGGAAACACTTCCTCCTCAGAGGATGATGTCACAGATCCAGATGATGATGTCACAGCCGATGACATTCTGTTTCTTCTTCATCTTGTCTTCTCAGCCCAAAGTGCCGCACTGAGTACCCCCCCAGCGCCACCCCCAACAGGTAGGTTCTGCTGCTCCTCATCCCCTAGAACTGGGTCAGAACCATCTGGCTTCCTCCATGTCAGTTAGCTGTGTTCCCCTGCAGGGGGCGCCAGCATCCTGCTGAGACTTTGTTTAATCAGGCTCAGTCTGAGCGGTTCTACTGGGTCAGAACCATCTGGACCAGACCATTGATCCCAGTCAGCAAAGTTCTGCTGAGCCTTCTTAGTCCAAAACCTAGTTTCCCCTCCCTGTAACCAGTGGAGAACCAGACCCTCCCAGTAGAACCGGACCCTCCCAGTAGAACTGCAGCCTCCCAGTAGAACCAGACCCTCCCAGTAGAACCAGATCCTCCCAGAAGAACCGGACCCTTCCAGTAGAACCGAACCCTCCCAGTGGAACCCGACCCTCCCAGTGGAACTGGACCCTCCCAGTGGAACCGGACCCTCCCCGTAGAACTGGACCCTCCCATCAGTGTGCTGTGTTGTGTTCAGGTACCTGTGCTACTGTGGGAAGCTCCAGGACCCTCCAGCCGACCCCTGGCTGGTCCCTCACTCCTGCGGCGCCGTCTGTCAGAAGGAGCTCAGACCCAGCTGTGGCCACGCCTGCCTGCTGCTCTGTCACCCCGGTAACCACACCCCCTGTGGCAGCGGTTCTGACCCGCTCAATTGTTCCGGTTAACCCCCCCCCCCCATCTCTGTCTCTCCAGGTCCGTGTCCTCCATGTCCAAAGATGGTCTCCGTCTCCTGCCTGTGTGGCCAAGCTAAGCCCCTCCCCCGTCGCTGTAGCAACAAGGTAAACAGGTGGAGTGAGGCAGGTAGACGCTGACGGCTTCCTCCTGCTCACCATGACCCCTCTGTGTTTACAGGCCTGGTCCTGCCAGCAGCCCTGTGGGAAGCTGCTGGCCTGTAAGCAGCACACCTGCTCCCAGACCTGCCACTCAGGTAACCAACACCCCCCCCACCCACCTCCCCCCCTCCACCCACAGACAGCCCACAGTAACCTGCTGCCTCTCCCTGTCTGCCAGAGTGCCCCCCCTGCCCCAGAGTCAGCCTGCAGAGGTGTGTGTGCGGGAAGGAGGCGGCGGAGAGGCCGTGCGCCAGCCCCCGCTGGAGCTGTCAACAGGTAGGGAGGAGAACCCGCTGCAGCCAGCAGGGGGAGCCAGACAGCCCGACTCACTGACTGACTGTTCCTCCCCAGGTGTGCGGAGCTCGCCTGTCCTGTGGGAACCACACCTGTGAGGAGGAGTGTCACGCCGGGGCCTGCCCTCCGTGCCCTCGTTCCGTCAGCAGATCCTGCCCCTGTGGGAAAACCAGTAAGAGCATCCCAGTCCAGGCGCTGCGGTCCGGTCCCGGTCCCGCCGTTCCAACCGCTGGTCCTGGTCCCGCCGTTCCAACCGCTGGTCCTGGTCCCGCCGTTCCAACCGCTGGTCCTGTTCCCGCCGTTCCAACCGCAGGTCCTGGTCCCGCCTTTCTAACCGCTGGTCCTGGTCCCGCCGTTCTAACCGCTGGTCCTGGTCCCGCCGTTCCAACCGCAGGTCCTGGTCCCGCCGTTCCAACCGCAGGTCCTGGTCCCGCCGTTCTAAGCGCCGGTCCTGGTCCCGCCGTTCCACCCGCAGGTCCTGGTCCCGCCTTTCCAACCGCTGGTCCTGGTCCCGCCGTTCTAAGCGCCGGTCCTGGTCCCGCCGTTCCAACCGCAGGTCCTGGTCCCGCCGTTCCAACCGCAGGTCCTGGTCCCGCCGTTCCAACCGCAGGTCCTGGTCCCGCCGTTCCAACCGCAGGTCCTGGTCCCGCCGTTCTAACCGCTGGTCCTGGTCCCGCCGTTCTAACTGCCGGTCCTGGTCCCTCCGTTTCGACCACTGGTTCCTGGTCCCGCCGTTCCGACCACTGGTTCCTGGTCCCCGCCGTTCCGACCACTGGTTCCTGGTCCCCGCCGTTCCGACCACTGGTTCCTGGTCCCGCCGTTCCGACCACTGGTTCCTGGTCCCGCCGTTCTAACCCCTGGTCCGGCCGTTCCAACCACTGGTCCTGGTCCCGCCGTTCCAACCGCTGGTCCTGTTCCCGCCGTTCCAACCGCAGGTCCTGGTCCCGCCTTTCTAACCGCTGGTCCTGGTCCCGCCGTTCTAACCGCTGGTCCTGGTCCCGCCGTTCCAACCGCAGGTCCTGGTCCCGCCGTTCCAACCGCAGGTCCTGGTCCCGCCGTTCTAAGCGCCGGTCCTGGTCCCGCCGTTCCACCCGCAGGTCCTGGTCCCGCCTTTCCAACCGCTGGTCCTGGTCCCGCCGTTCCACCCGCAGGTCCTGGTCCCGCCTTTCCAACCGCTGGTCCTGGTCCCGCCGTTCTAACCGCTGGTCCTGGTCCGGCCGTTCTAACCGCTGGTCCTGGTCCGGCCGTTCTAAACGCTGGTCCTGGTCCCGCCGTTCTAACCCCTGGTCCGGCCGTTCCAACCACTGGTCCTGGTCTGGCCGTTCCAACCACTGGTCCTGGGCCGGCCGTTCCAACCACTGATCCTGGTCCGGCCGTTCCGACCGCTGGTCCTGGTCCCGCCGTTCCGACCGCTGGTCCTGGTCCCGCCGTTCCGACCGCTGGTCCTGGTCCCGCCGTTCCGACCGCTGGTCCTGGTCCCGCCGTTCTAACCGCCGGTCCTGGTCCCGCCGTTCTAACCGCCGGTCCTGGTCATGCCGTTCTAACCGCTGGTCCTGGTCCGGCCGTTCTAACCGCCGGTCCTGGTCCCGCCGTTCTAACCGCGGGTCCTGGTCCCGCCGTTCTAACTGCCGGTCCTGGTCATGCCGTTCTAACCGCTGGTCCTGGTCCCGCCGTTCTAACCGCTGTGTCCTTCCAGAGTCGTCCCTGCCGTGCACTGAGGAGGTCCCGCCCTGCGGGGACACCTGCGACCGCCGCCTGTCCTGTCAGAAACACACCTGTTCCATGAGGTGCCACCGGGGGAGCTGTGAGACGTGCAGACAGGTCACAAACACACGAACACGTGTCACACCGCGGCGTGGCACCAGTGCCGCTCTGAGACGCTCTGCTTCCCCTGCAGGAGGTGGAGAAGGAGTGCCGCTGCGGGCGCTACCGCCGCCACATGGCCTGCCATAAGGAGTACCTGTGTGACTCCAAGTGTCCCAGAACCAGGAACTGCCAGCGGCACCAGTGCAGGAGGAAGGTCGGTGGCCATCTTTGTTCGCTCTGCGGCTCCGATCCCATCAGACCCGACTGAATGGTTTCCCATCATGCTTTGTGTCTCAGTGTTGCCCAGGTAACTGCCCCCCCTGCGATCAGATCTGCGGGCGGACGCTGGGCTGCCGGAACCACAAGTGTCCCTCCGTCTGTCACCAAGGTAACCGCTACATGTCCAGCTCAGCGTCTATGTCCTAAAGATCTAAGCTGCTGCAGGGTCTCAGCGGTCTGGTTCTGTTCTGTCGACCCGGTCCGACCCGGTCCTCTATAAATAAAAGGAGGAAGGTCAAAGGTCAAACACGCTGTGACTGCTGCGTGTCGGCAGATGAGGCGCCGGCTGATAAGCGTCTGATTGGCTGCTCTGACCTTTCGGCGCTGCGCCGCGCCGGCGGTGAGATAAGAGCCGCCGCTGCTGGGTCACAGCTCCGCTCTGATTGGAGGAGAACATGGAGGAGGCAGGAGGGAGGCTGAGGCGTTGAAGTGAGCCGAGCAGAACCAGAACCAGCAGGCCCGGTTTATCTGAAGGAGGTGTGAGGTCCGCTCAGCCGCTGGGGGTCAGCCAGTATAGAGCTATAGCTGATAGAAGCAGATCACCCATAAGGTTCTGATCGGTACTTCTAGGTTTAACTTATTTAAATCGTATAGAACGGGCACAGAGAGGGAGGTGAGAAAGAAGGAGGAGATAAGAACTAAGAGGCAGGAAGGAGGGCATCATCATTAACTCTATGTGTGATCTGCTGGAGTCTGAAGCAATGATTGGTTTTAAAACTTTTCCATTTTATCACTGCTTCACTTTAAAAATGGAAATGAACTCAACAAAATGTCTTTTTCTAAACACTCTGTGTACCAAAGAATAATAAAGTCAGTCTAAGTTTAATCTAAGTTTAACACTCGGACTGCTGATCCTACTAGAACTCCCGCTGGCCGTCCGTTTGACGTCAGGTGACATTTTCCCAGAGGAACGATGAGTGGTGATGATGTCATTCAGTGAGATGGTTCTAGTGTACCATATAAACCCATAGTGGATATATAAACCTTAAACCAGGGCTAATATATATTTTTAAAGGCTGCATTGTGTGCTATTATTTAATCTGTTTTACTGCAGAGGCTGGGAGATTAGTAAGGGGGATACAAGTGGTGAAAAAAATAAACTTTCCCAATAAAGGGTTAAAGATGGATGGAGCTTCTGCTTGATGTTCTGGGTCCGTCTGACCCGGTTCTGTCTGACCTCCTGGCCCGGTCTGACCCGGTTCTGTCCCTGTTCTCCTCCAGGAAGCTGCTACCCGTGCCCAGAGACGGTGGAGGTCCCCTGTACCTGCGGCTCCACGGTTCTGGTGGTTCCGTGCGGCCGGGAGAGGAGCACCAAACCCCCCCGCTGCAAGGAGCCCTGCAGGTAGACGGTGGTCCAGTTGGGTCGGTTCCATCCAGGTGGTACCAGAACCATGACGTCCTGTCTCGTCTCCACAGGTCCCCCCCCTCCTGCCACCACCCGACACGGGAGCCCCACCGCTGCCACCCGGGCCCCTGCCCCCCCTGCAAACAGCTCTGCTCGCTGCCTCTTCCAGGCTGCAGCCACAGCTGTCCTCAGCCCTGCCACGACCTGGTTCTGGTCCGGTCCCAGCAGGTCCGTACCCGACCCAGAACCGGTAGAACTCCTCTGGCCGTGAAGGCGGCATTTCCTGTTTCCCACACAGCAGGTTCTGATCCGGCTGTGTTTGTGTTCAGGTCCAGCTGGCCGGTCCGTGGGAGCAGCCATCAGAACCGGCGTTTGTGAAGAAGGCTCTGCCGTGTCCGCCCTGCCAGGTCCCCATCCCCACGTAAGTCCAGCTCCGGTTCTGTCGCCCCGTTCGGGTCTCTGGGGCGGGTTCTGCAGAACCTCGACCCAAACCCCGATCATCAAGGTGGAGCAGAACCTCCTGCTTGGGTCCTTCTGCTCCTTGAAGCTAGTATTGGGTCGGTACCGGTTCTGCTGAGGTTCCTGTTCAGAGCTGACAGGTTTCCGGATGCTGTTACCATAGTTACAGCAGCCCCTTTCATCCCAGAGAAAGTACCGGAATTTCTGAGGGTCCAGAACAGTCAATCATCAGCATAGAGGGAGCTGGTTCTGGTTCAGCTGCTGGGAACCGGGTCCAGAACCAGCAGAACCTGGGCTCATGTGGTGCCGGGAATGGAAGATATGGTCGGTATGTTTCCATGACAGCGACAGCAGCAGATGTGTTCAGATTCCTGTGTGAGGCGTGACCCGCAGGCCGCGGCCAGAAACAGCTGAACCAGCGCCGTAACGGACCGCTCCAGGCCCGACCCGGCCCGAAGAATGCAGAGGTTATTTCTGACAGATCAACGCCTCGATTTAGAACCGCCTGGAGATCCGGTTAGAGACTGGTTCTGAACCCACAGACGCCAGAACAGAGACGGACCGCCTGGTTCTGGACCCACAGAGACCAGAACAGAGACGGACCGCCTGGTTCTGGACCCACAGAGACCAGAACAGAGACGGACCGCCTGGTTCTGAACCCACAGACGCCAGAACAGAGACGGACCGCCTGGTTCTGGACCCACAGAGGCCAGAACAGAGACGGACCGCCTGGTTCTGGACCCACAGAGGCCAGAACAGAGACGGACCGCCTGGTTCTGGACCCACAGAGACCAGAACAGAGACGGACCGCCTGGTTCTGAACCCACAGACGCCAGAACAGAGACGGACCGCCTGGTTCTGGACCCACAGACGCCAGAACAGAGACGGACCGCCTGGTTCTGGACCCACAGAGACCAGAACAGAGACGGACCGCCTGGTTCTGGACCCACAGAGACCAGAACAGAGACGGACCGCCTGGTTCTGGACCCACAGAGCCAGAACAGAGACGGACCGCCTGGTTCTGAACCCACAGACGCCAGAACAGAGACGGACCGCCTGGTTCTGAACCCACAGACGCCAGAACAGAGACGGACCGCCTGGTTCTGGACCCACAGAGGCCAGAACAGAGACGGACCGCCTGGTTCTGGACCCACAGAGGCCAGAACAGAGACGGACCGCCTGGTTCTGGACCCACAGAGACCAGAACAGAGACGGACCGCCTGGTTCTGAACCCACAGACGCCAGAACAGAGACGGACCGCCTGGTTCTGGACCCACAGACGCCAGAACAGAGACGGACCGCCTGGTTCTGGACCCACAGACGCCAGAACAGAGACGGACCGCCTGGTTCTGGACCCACAGAGACCAGAACAGAGACGGACCGCCTGGTTCTGGACCCACAGAGACCAGAACAGAGATGGACCGCCTGGTTCTGAACCCACAGACGCCAGAACAGAGACGGACCGCCTGGTTCTGGACCCACAGAGGCCAGAACAGAGACGGACCGCCTGGTTCTGGACCCACAGAGACCAGAACAGAGACGGACCGCCTGGTTCTGAACCCACAGACGCCAGAACAGAGACGGACCGCCTGGTTCTGGACCCACAGACGCCAGAACAGAGACGGACCGCCTGGTTCTGGACCCACAGAGACCAGAACAGAGACGGACCGCCTGGTTCTGAACCCACAGACGCCAGAACAGAGACGGACCGCCTGGTTCTGGACCCACAGAGGCCAGAACAGAGACGGACCGCCTGGTTCTGGACCCACAGAGGCCAGAACAGAGACGGACCGCCTGGTTCTGGACCCACAGAGGCCAGAACAGAGACGGACCGCCTGGTTCTGAACCCACAGACGCCAGAACAGAGACGGACCGCCTGGTTCTGGACCCACAGAGACCAGAACAGAGACGGACCGCCTGGTTCTGGACCCACAGACGCCAGAACAGAGACGGACCGCCTGGTTCTGGACCCACAGAGCCAGAACAGAGACGGACCGCCTGGTTCTGGACCCACAGACGCCAGAACAGAGACGGACCGCCTGGTTCTGGACCCACAGACGCCAGAACAGAGACGGACCGCCTGGTTCTGGACCCACAGAGACCAGAACAGAGACGGACCGCCTGGTTCTGGACCCACAGAGCCAGAACAGAGACGGACCGCCTGGTTCTGACCCACAGACGCCAGAACAGAGACGGACCGCCTGGTTCTGGACCCACAGAGGCCAGAACAGAGACGGACCGCCTGGTTCTGGACCCACAGAGGCCAGAACAGAGACGGACCGCCTGGTTCTGGACCCACAGACGCCAGAACAGAGACGGACCGCCTGGTTCTGAACCCACAGACGCCAGAACAGAGACGGACCGCCTGGTTCTGGACCCACAGAGGCCAGAACAGAGACGGACCGCCTGGTTCTGGACCCACAGAGACCAGAACAGAGACGGACCGCCTGGTTCTGGACCCACAGAGACCAGAACAGAGACGGACCGCCTGGTTCTGGACCCACAGAGACCAGAACAGAGACGGACCGCCTGGTTCTGGACCCACAGAGACCAGAACAGAGACGGACCGCCTGGTTCTGGACCCACAGAGGCCAGAACAGAGACGGACCGCCTGGTTCTGGACCCACAGACGCCAGAACAGAGACGGACCGCCTGGTTCTGGACCCACAGAGACCAGAACAGAGACGGACCGCCTGGTTCTGGACCCACAGACGCCAGAACAGAGACGGACCGCCTGGTTCTGGACCCACAGACGCCAGAACAGAGACGGACCGCCTGGTTCTGGACCCACAGAGACCAGAACAGAGACGGACCGCCTGGTTCTGGACCCACAGAGACCAGAACAGAGACGGACCGCCTGGTTCTGGACCCACAGACGCCAGAACAGAGACGGACCGCCTGGTTCTGGACCCACAGAGGCCAGAACAGAGACGGACCGCCTGGTTCTGGACCCACAGAGACCAGAACAGAGACGGACCGCCTGGTTCTGAACCCACAGACGCCAGAACAGAGACGGACCGCCTGGTTCTGGACCCACAGAGGCCAGAACAGAGACGGACCGCCTGGTTCTGACCCACAGAGACCAGAACAGAGACGGACCGCCTGGTTCTGAACCCACAGACGCCAGAACAGAGACGGACCGCCTGGTTCTGGACCCACAGACGCCAGAACAGAGACGGACCGCCTGGTTCTGGACCCACAGAGACCAGAACAGAGACGGACCGCCTGGTTCTGGACCCACAGACGACCAGAACAGAGACGGACCGCCTGGTTCTGAACCCACAGACGCCAGAACAGAGACGGACCGCCTGGTTCTGGACCCACAGAGGCCAGAACAGAGACGGACCGCCTGGTTCTGGACCCACAGAGACCAGAACAGAGACGGACCGCCTGGTTCTGAACCCACAGACGCCAGAACAGAGACGGACCGCCTGGTTCTGGACCCACAGAGCCAGAACAGAGACGGACCGCCTGGTTCTGGACCCACAGAGACCAGAACAGAGACGGACCGCCTGGTTCTGGACCCACAGAGACCAGAACAGAGACGGACCGCCTGGTTCTGGACCCACAGAGACCAGAACAGAGACGGACCGCCTGGTTCTGAACCCACAGACGCCAGAACAGAGACGGACCGCCTGGTTCTGGACCCACAGAGGCCAGAACAGAGACGGACCGCCTGGTTCTGGACCCACAGAGGCCAGAACAGAGACGGACCGCCTGGTTCTGGACCCACAGAGGCCAGAACAGAGACGGACCGCCTGGTTCTGAACCCACAGACGCCAGAACAGAGACGGACCGCCTGGTTCTGAACCCACAGACGCCAGAACAGAGACGGACCGCCTGGTTCTGGACCCACAGAGGCCAGAACAGAGACGGACCGCCTGGTTCTGGACCCACAGAGACCAGAACAGAGACGGACCGCCTGGTTCTGAACCCACAGACGCCAGAACAGAGACGGACCGCCTGGTTCTGGACCCACAGAGACCAGAACAGAGACGGACCGCCTGGTTCTGGACCCACAGAGACCAGAACAGAGACGGACCGCCTGGTTTTGGACCCACAGAGACCAGAACAGAGACGGACCGCCTGGTTCTGGACCCACAGACGCCAGAACAGAGACGGACCGCCTGGTTCTGGACCCACAGAGACCAGAACAGAGACGGACCGCCTGGTTCTGGACCCACAGAGACCAGAACAGAGACGGACCGCCTGGTTCTGGACCCACAGAGACCAGAACAGAGACGGACCGCCTGGTTCTGAACCCACAGACGCCAGAACAGAGACGGACCGCCTGGTTCTGGACCCACAGAGGCCAGAACAGAGACGGACCGCCTGGTTCTGGACCCACAGAGACCAGAACAGAGACGGACCGCCTGGTTCTGGACCCACAGAGGCCAGAACAGAGACGGACCGCCTGGTTCTGAACCCACAGACGCCAGAACAGAGACGGACCGCCTGGTTCTGGACCCACAGAGGCCAGAACAGAGACGGACCGCCTGGTTCTGGACCCACAGAGGCCAGAACAGAGACGGACCGCCTGGTTCTGGACCCACAGAGGCCAGAACAGAGACGGACCGCCTGGTTCTGGACCCACAGAGACCAGAACAGAGACGGACCGCCTGGTTCTGAACCCACAGACGCCAGAACAGAGACGGACCGCCTGGTTCTGGACCCACAGAGACCAGAACAGAGACGGACCGCCTGGTTCTGGACCCACAGAGGCCAGAACAGAGACGGACCGCCTGGTTTTGGACCCACAGAGACCAGAACAGAGACGGACCGCCTGGTTCTGGACCCACAGAGACCAGAACAGAGACGGACCGCCTGGTTCTGGACCCACAGAGGCCAGAACAGAGACGGACCGCCTGGTTCTGGACCCACAGAGACCAGAACAGAGACGGACCGCCTGGTTCTGGACCCACAGAGACCAGAACAGAGACGGACCGCCTGGTTCTGGACCCACAGAGACCAGAACAGAGACGGACCGCCTGGTTCTGAACCCACAGAGACCAGAACAGAGACGGACCGCCTGGTTCTGGACCCACAGCCTCCAGAACAGAGATGGCCCGCCTGGTTCTGGACCCACAGACGCCAGAACAGAGACGGACCGCCTGGTTCTGGACCCACAGCCTCCAGAACAGAGATGGCCCGCCTGGTTCTGGACCCCTCCTTCCTGGTTCTGGGAGGAGCCAGCTGGGATCAGAACCAGCAGCCCAGAGAGCAACAACAAGCAGAGGTCCCACTGGGCGGTTCTGACGGGCTGCGGTTCCGTCCCGCGTCATTAGAGCTGAGATGTTAACATCGGGCCGGGCCGTCTGGTTCTGATAACACTGTGTTTCCAGCTGCCTGAGGCGGAACCAGCTGTGGGCTGCAGCTTCCAGCGCCGCTGAACCAAGCCGGTTCTGGTCCATAGAGGCTGGGTTCTGATGGAGGTTCGGTTCTGTTCTGATAGAGGCTGTTCTCTGTTCTCCTCGGCCCAGTAAACATGGTTCTGAGTCCCTGCCAGGTCCGATTGGACCCGGTTCTCTGTGTTTATCCACTCAGCTGGATCTGATGCAGTCTGACGTCAGCAGCCTGAAACCGGACCTTCAGAACCTCTGATCTCAGATAAACATCAGAACACCAGCTCTTTGTTTATCCATGGCTAAAGTTCTGTGACTCAGGTTCTGACCCGACCCAAATCTGATACCTGAGATCCAGACACGTCAGAGAAAGCACAGTATCAGAACCGGGTCAGAGGTTCTGTCCGCTTCAGGGGGACTTATGCTTCTGAACCGGGTCAGAATCAGAATCTCTGGGTCGGGTTCATTAAGACCCAGCTGTTTTTGGTTGCCGTGGTGATCAGGATGTTTAAAAGTGGGCGGAGCTTTGACTCTCTGTTTCTGTTCCAGGTCCTGCTTTGGAGAACATGAGGTAAGAACCAGAACTTTTCTCACAGTTTAACGCTGAAAGCAGTTTGGTGAGTCGGTTGGTTGCTCCCCCCTCCTCCCCCCCCTCCTCTTCCCCCCCTCCTCCTCCCCCTGCTCCCCCCCCCCCCCCCTCCTCCTCCTCCCCCCCCCTCCTCCCCTCCTATCTGTCCATCACTCCCACCGCCTGCTCTTTGTTTTCTTTTCCATTCCCCGCTTCCAAATGTCAGCCATTGTTATGGTGACCTCTGACCTCCTCTATCGGTCCATCTGCTCTGCCCTTCTCGTCTTCGTCTTCTCCGTATGGAGCTGCCAGACGCGCCGTTATCGCTGCTGTCTCCGTGTGTCTGCAGGTGAGCCCGGTGCCGTGTCATCGCCAGGGTCGCTTCTCCTGCAAACGGCCCTGTGGGCGGCCGCTGGCCTGTGAGAACCACAGCTGCAGCAGGGAGTGTCACCTCGTTACTGACGGCAACAAGGTGAGAGCTTCATAAGGATCCTGAGTATGAACCGAACTAAGGTTGTTCCTTAGCCTGTAAAATATCTGTCCCTGCAGTGTGAGGTGTGTGAAGAGGGCTGCTCTAAGACCCGCCCACCTGGATGCCCGCACCACTGCGCCCTCCCGTGTCATCCTGGAGACTGCCCTGCCTGCAGCCAGATGATCCGCCAACGCTGCCACTGCAGGATCAGCACGCTCTACCTGGAGTGCACGTTAGTATACAAGCACATGATGCGTAACCATGGCAACACGCTGACGGTGGCTTCAGGTCCTCCTCAGCGGCGATGGCTTTATGTTTACGTTCAATGGTTGTTGGATCCCAACTGATCTCTGCAGGAAGGTGACATCAGCTGATGAGCAGACCAAGATGAAGATGGGCTCCTGCAACAACCAGTGTCCTAAAGAGGTTAGTACTGAACATACATCAACAATAGCTAGTTAGCACACACCTACAACAGCTAGCTGGCACTAACCTACACCAGCTAGCTGGCACTAACCTACACCAGCTAGCTGGCACACACCTACACCAGCTAGTTGGCACTAACCTACAGAAGCTAGTTAGCACACACCTACACCAGCTAGTTGGCACTAACCTACAGAAGCTAGTTAGCACACACCTACACCAGCTAGTTGGCACTAACCTACAGAAGCTAGTTAGCACACACCTACACCAGCTAGTTGGCACTAACCTACAGAAGCTAGTTGGCACACACCTACACCATTTAGTTGGCACTAACCTACAGAAGCTAGTTAGCACACACCTACACCAGCTAGTTGGCACTAACCTACAGAAGCTAGTTGGCACACACCTACACCAGCTAGTTGGCACTAACCTACAGAAGCTAGTTAGCACACACCTACACCAGCTAGTTGGCACTAACCTACAGAAGCTAGTTGGCACACACCTACACCAGCTAGTTGGCACTAACCTACAGAAGCTAGTTAGCACACACCTACACCAGCTAGTTGGCACTAACCTACAGAAGCTAGTTAGCACACACCTACACCAGCTAGTTGGCACTAACCTACAGAAGCTAGTTAGCACACACCTACACCAGCTAGTTGGCACTAACCTACAGAAGCTAGTTAGCACACAGCAATACAACCTAGTTAGCACACACCAATACAAGCTAGTTAGAAAACGCCTTCACAAGCTAATTAGCACACACCAATACAAGCTATTTAACACACACCTATACCAGCTAGTTAGAAAGCACCAACAATAGCTAGTTAGCATACACCTACACCAGCTAGCTGGCACTAACCTACAGAAGCTAGTTGGCACTAACCTACAGAAGCTAGCTGGCACTAACCTACAGAAGCTAGTTGGCACTAACCTACAGAAGCTAGTTGGCACACAGCTACACCAGCTAGTTGGCACTAACCTACAGAAGCTAGTTAGCACACACCTACACCAGCTAGTTGGCACTAACCTACAGAAGCTAGTTGGCACACACCTACACCAGCTAGTTGGCACTAACCTACAGAAGCTAGTTAGCACACACCTACACCATTTAGTTGGCACTAACCTACAGAAGCTAGTTAGCACACACCTACACCAGCTAGTTGGCACTAACCTACAGAAGCTAGTTAGCACACACCTACACCAGCTAGTTGGCACTAACCTACAGAAGCTAGTTAGCACACAGCAATACAACCTAGTTAGCACACACCAATACAAGCTAGTTAGAAAACGCCTTCACAAGCTAATTAGCACACACCAATACAAGCTATTTAACACACACCTATACCAGCTAGTTAGAAAGCACCAACAATAGCTAGTTAGCATACACCTACACCAGCTAGCTGGCACTAACCTACAGAAGCTAGTTGGCACTAACCTACAGAAGCTAGCTGGCACTAACCTACAGAAGCTAGTTGGCACTAACCTACAGAAGCTAGTTGGCACACAGCTACACCAGCTAGTTGGCACTAACCTACAGAAGCTAGTTAGCACACACCTACACCAGCTAGTTGGCACTAACCTACAGAAGCTAGTTGGCACACACCTACACCAGCTAGTTGGCACTAACCTACAGAAGCTAGTTAGCACACACCTACACCAGCTAGTTGGCACTAACCTACAGAAGCTAGTTAGCACACACCTACACCAGCTAGTTGGCACTAACCTACAGAAGCTAGTTAGCACACAGCAATACAACCTAGTTAGCACACACCAATACAAGCTAGTTAGAAAACGCCTTCACAAGCTAATTAGCACACACCAATACAAGCTATTTAACACACACCTATACCAGCTAGTTAGAAAGCACCAACAATAGCTAGTTAGCATACACCTACACCAGCTAGCTGGCACTAACCTACAGAAGCTAGCTGGCACTAACCTACAGAAGCTAGTTGGCACACAGCAATACAACCTAGTTAGCACACACCAATACAAGCTAGTTAGAAAACGCCTTCACAAGCTAATTAGCACACACCAATACAAGCTATTTAACACACACCTATACCAGCTAGTTAGAAAGCACCAACAATAGCTAGTTAGCATACACCTACACCAGCTAGCTGGCACTAACCTACAGAAGCTAGCTGGCACTAACCTACAGAAGCTAGTTGGCACTAACCTACAGAAGCTAGTTGGCACACAGCAATACAACCTAGTTAGCACACACCAATACAAGCTAGTTAGAAAACGCCTTCACAAGCTAGTTAACACACACCTATACCAGCTAGTTAGAAAGCACCAACACTAGCTAGTTAGCACCATTCCTACACAAGCGCAGACTAGTTAGCACTCACCTGCACAAGCTAGTTAGCACACACCCACACAAGCACCAGGTAGTTACCACACGCTACACAAGCTGGTTACAAAGCACATACACAAGCTAGTTAGCACCTGCCTACACAAGCTAGTTAGAAAACACCTGCACAAGCTAGGTAGCAGACCCCTATACCAGCTAGGTAGCACTCATCTAGACAAGCTATTTAAAAACCATTAGAAAACACCTACACCAGCTAGTTAGCACTAACTAACACAAGCTAGCCTGCATGGAACAGCACAGGCCACTGACCACACATACTTTTAAAACTCCTAGTACCTAACCTAACTAGCATGCACCGACACAATGTTCCTAGCTAGCATACATCATCAGGAACTAGTTAACAAGAACCAAATCAGGGATCCTAGTGAGCACACTAGTCTCTCCTGGTCAGCATGCACTGACAGAAGGTTAGCATGCATTAACAATACTTCTCTAGTGAGTGTACATCTCACTACCCGACCTGTCTGGAAGCACCATCCTTTACATCAGCTCAGATATCGCCCTCAATTTTAAATGTACAAAAAACCTCAATGACATTTTTCCCTCCCTAAAAATAGTAAGCGTACTAAACTAAAATGTGTTAAAGGTTAATAATGTACTTCCTGAGAAAATAAATGTCTTAAAATCCTGTCCTTTACTTCCCTCGTCTGTCTGATCTGCACAGGAAATGGGATCTTAGGCTACTCCCTTTTCCAGCTTCGGTTTTAAACCTAAATCTAGTCTTTTTGGGTTTTATGTTTTCCTTAAGTGTTAACATTATGGTATATAGTGCGTAATCTAAAGAAAGAACCAACTTTAATGCAGGTAAAGATGGTTTAATCAGATTTACTGCTCTGAGCGTGTCCCATGATGGCGTCAGAGATCAGAGAAGCTGTGGAGAAAATGTAAAAAGCATCAGAATTGTCAAGGATAAGTCATAAAACATTTTTTAAAGATATGTATCCGCAATATTTAGAGATTAAAGGATAGCAATAAGTAATTATTTCTAGTAGCATAATTACATTATTTATGGATGTGTATCTGGTTATGCAAATGATCTGATGGTATATATTCAACTATACCACATATAGCTGATTAGATTCAGTAGATAATAAACTATTTCTTGTTTATAAAAGACTAATATAGAGCACTTTTAATGTTTCTGTAATGGGTTTAGTCACTGAAGGAGAGGTAGAAGACTAAAGGATAATGAAACATGGCAGCTGAGAGCAGGATCTATAGAAGTAGTGAGCAGATGAAAGCAGCTGTGGGAGCTGCTCAGCCTGAACCCGGGTCATCCAGGAGAGGAGCTCTGATCAAACGGAGCAGGAGCGTTTATTTTCTCTGCTTCATTCATGTTTCCTTTGAAGAACCGTCAGAGCGTTTGTTCCTCCGCCTCCCTCTGAAGCGCTAACCGTGTCTCTGTGTAGCTGAGCTGCGGCCATCGCTGTAAGCAGGTGTGTCATCCAGGTGTGTGTGAGGAGAAATGTCAGCAGAAGGTGAAGCTGCGCTGTCCCTGCAAGAGAATCAAGAAGGTAAACATCTACTAGCATCTCTGTCAGCAGGACCCAAAGCCCCTGTTCTGTTCTACTAGTCAACAGCTTCCAGATCCTGGAATGTAGAAATATATCTGCTAGATCAGACCATTTTTTATAGGATCCAGGCTTTAATCAGCTCGGTGTCCCTCAGGGCTGTGTTCTCAGTCCTCGTTTTTTCCCAGTTTAATTTATCTACGTGATCAAAGCGATTCGGTCTCTAAATAGAGCCACGCCCCCTAATGTTTCCCCTTGGTCTGTGCAGGAGGTGCTGTGTTCCCTCTCAGCTCAGACTGTCCTCCACTGTGATGACGTCTGCAGAGACCAGCAGAGGAAAGTCAGCCAGGTACAGACGGACACACATCCACACCACACCCTCACACCCAGACTCTGAGCGCCCTGCTTCTGTTTCAGGTGAAGGAGGCGGAGCAGAAGGCGGCTCTGGAGGAGGAGCAGAAGAAGCTCCAGGTGAGTCCTGTTTCCTGAAGTCTGTCCAGATGTGAGCTGGCCTCATTACAGCTGCTGGATGTCTCCCTCAGGAGGAGCTGGAGGCCTTCGAGAAGCGCCAGCAGAGAGGAGGCCGCAGGGGGAAGAGGAGGGGCAGGAAGGAGGAGGTGGACGACGAGCAGGAGAGGGCCAGGAGGTGGTGGAGGAGGTGCACCGCCTTCGTCCTGGTTCCTCTGGGTGGCGCCGTGCTGTCGGCTGCTGCCTACTACCTGCTGAGCCAAAGCTGAAGCTCCGCAGGCTAACTGGGAGCTCTGGTTCTGCTGCTGATTCCTTCATTCGCTTCCTCTGCTCACATCAACTGGTTTCCTGCTCAGATGAACTGGTTTACTGTTTGGACAAACTGGTTTCCCGTTCAGACGAACTGGTTTCCCGTTTAGACGAACTGGTTTCCCGTTCAGACAAACTGGTTTCCCGTTTAGACGAACTAGTTTCCTGTTCACACAAACTGGTTTCCTATTCACACAAACTGGTTTCCTGTTCAGACGAACTGGTTTCCTGTTCACACAAACTGGTTTCCTGTTTAGACGAACTGGTTTCCTGTTTGGACAAACTGGTTTCCTGTTTAGACGAACTGGTTTCCTGTTCAGACGAACTGGTTTCCTGTTTGGACAAACTGGTTTCCTGTTCAGACGAACTGGTTTACTGTTTAGACGAACTGGTTTCCTGTTTAGACGAACTGGTTTCCTGTTTAGACGAACTGGTTTCCTATTCAGACGAACTGGTTTCCTGTTCAGACTAACTGGTTTCCTGTTTAGACTGACTGGTTTCCTGTTTAGTCTAACTGGTTTCCTGTTCACACAAACTGGTTTCCCGTTCAGACGAACTGGTTTCCTGTTTGGACAAACTGGTTTCCTGTTCAGACGAACTGGTTTCCTGTTCAGACGAACTGGTTTCCTGTTTGGACAAACTGGTTTCCTGTTCAGACAAACTGGTTTCCTGTTCAGACGAACTGGTTTACTGTTTAGACGAACTGGTTTCCTGTTTAGACGAACTGGTTTCCTATTCAGACGAACTGGTTTCCTGTTCAGACTAACTGGTTTCCTGTTTAGACTGACTGGTTTCATGTTTAGTCTAACTGGTTTCCTGTTCAGACGAACGCGTTTCCTGTTTAGCTGAACTGGTTTCCTGTTTAGCTGAACTGGTTTCCTGTTTAGTCAAACGGGTTTCCTGTTCAGACAAACTGGTTTCCTGTTCAGACAAACTGGTTTCCCGTTTAGATGCTGTTTAGATAAACTGGATTTCCCGCTTAGATGAACTGGTTTCGTCTGTTTAGATGAACTTCCTTTCTTTAGACGTTTCCTTTGTTTTATTTCCTCGTTTTTTACTCGGCTGAATCTCCTGAGCAGAACATCAGAGGTAAAGCTGATAAATTTTTTTCTGTATGATTTACAATAGTTCTGTTTTTTTCTTTTATTAAAGTGTTAAAGGATGTTCTGAAGATCCAGACCTGGTTAAAAAAATCTGATTTTTGTTTTCAGGAGTAAGTCCACTGGACCAATCAGAACCTGCCGTTTCTTTTACCGAACAAAAAAAAAATGTTTTTGGATGTAAAATCTTTTTCTTTCCTGTTTTTTCAAAGATTTGAGAAATAAATCTTCAAATATTTCCTGCTTGATCTCAGTGGTGTTCTGACCTCCCTCTGACCCGAACATGTGCTTTTTACAACGACCCAATTAAAGTTTCATCACCCAGATGGCCTGCAGCTGCTGGCCTACAGAGGGCGACAGTGAGCAATAGTTACAGACCTGGTTGGCATCAGCTCCATCTTTATAAAGAAGAGTGTCTGTGGTTTGGTTTTAAGAACCTTTGGGGTTCAGAGGGCTCCAGGCAGCGCCCCCTCTGGGGTTCTGTTGGGTCCAGGAACCCCTCTGTGGTTCTGTGGGCTCCACCACCAGCCTCCTGATGATGTGCAGCATTTTGTAAGTAGTTACACAATGTGTTTGATAATGGATGAATTAAACAGAGAGTTCAAAGCCAGTCAGCTCTGCTCTGCTTCAGGTCCACTGGTTCTGAAAGAATTGCTTCCTGTTCACGTTCTATTTCAGTCCTTCAGAGAAGATCTCTGCATGTCAGAACCAGGTAGGACACCTTAAGGGCCAAACCTCCTCCCAGCTGGTTCCTGGTTTTGTGTTTGGGTCACTAGATAAACTGAAACGTGGGTAAAATGAGGAATCCACCCAACGATTTCAGAAAGCAGTACCAGCTACAGAACCGTTTATCCTTTATAGTAATTATTCCCTCAGCGTTTACACCCGAATGCCACCAGAACCTGAGTGGAGGTAGATGGGCAAGAGGCGACTTTGGTACCAGATGGACATCCGAAGCGGGTCAGAAAGGACTGACTGGGAATGTTGGCCCACAATAAGTTCACAAGGATGAAGCCAAAGGTCCAAAGTAAAAAGTAGGGATGTCCTGACCCAATATCAGGCAACATGTTTGACTTACCGATTACTAATCAATGGATCAGTTGTTCTCATTGACTTCTCTTTTTTTTAGTAACTACTTGATCAAACCTTTTCTAACATTCATGATCAGTTACTGAATTCAAGATGTTTCTGATTTATCCTGATATTGTATTGTGTCAATATCGGTACCAGTCATGTATCAAAGGGTCAATATCGGTACCAGTCATGTATCAAAGGGTCAATATCGGTGTCGGTCATGTCTCAAAGGGGCGGTGTTGGTATCGGTCATGTCTCAAAGGGGCGGTGTCGGTATCGGTCATGTCTCACAGGGGCGGTGTCGGTATCGGACATGTCTCAAAGGGGCGGTGTCGGTATAGGTCATGTCTCAAAGGGGCGGTGTCGGTATCGGACATGTCTCAAAGGGGTGGCGTCGGTATCGGTCATGTCTCACAGGGGCGGTGTCGGTATCGGACATGTCTCAAAGGGGCGGTGTCGGTATCGGTCATGTCTCAAAGGGGCGGTGTCGGTATCGGTCATGTCTCACAGGGGTGGTGTCGGTATCGGACATGTCTCAAAGGGGTGGCGTCGGTATCGGACATGTCTCACAGGGGCGGTGTCGGTATCGGACATGTCTCAAAGGGGCGGCGTCGGTATCTGGCATGTCTCACAGGGGCGGCGTCGGTATCGGTCATGTCTCAAAGGGGCGGTGTCGGTATCGGGCATGTCTCACAGGGGCGGTGTCGGTATCGGGCATGTCTCAAAGGGGCGGTGTCGGTATCGGTCATGTCTCACAGGGGCGGTGTCGGTATCGGACATGTCTCAAAGGGGTGGCGTCGGTATCGGTCATGTCTCAAAGGGGCGGTGTCGGTATCGGACATGTCTCAAAGGGGCGGCGTCGGTATCGGTCATGTCTCACAGGGCCGGTGTCGGTATCGGACATGTCTCAAAGGGGTGGCGTCGGTATCGGTCATGTCTCACAGGGGCGGTGTCGGTATCGGACATGTCTCAAAGGGGCGGCGTCGGTATCTGGCATGTCTCACAGGGGCGGCGTCGGTATCGGTCATGTCTCAAAGGGGCGGTGTCGGTATCGGGCATGTCTCACAGGGGCGGTGTCGGTATCGGGCATGTCTCAAAGGGGCGGTGTCGGTATCGGTCATGTCTCACAGGGGCGGTGTCGGTATCGGACATGTCTCAAAGGGGTGGCGTCGGTATCGGTCATGTCTCAAAGGGGCGGTGTCGGTATCGGACATGTCTCAAAGGGGTGGCGTCGGTATCTGGCATGTCTCACAGGGGCGGCGTCGGTATCGGTCATGTCTCAAAGGGGCGGTGTCGGTATCGGACATGTCTCAAAGGGGCGGCGTCGGTATCTGGCATGTCTCACAGGGGCGGCGTCGGTATCGGTCATGTCTCAAAGGGGCGGTGTCGGTATCGGGCATGTCTCACAGGGGCGGTGTCGGTATCGGGCATGTCTCAAAGGGGCGGTGTCGGTATCGGTCATGTCTCACAGGGGCGGTGTCGGTATCGGTCATGTCTCACAGGGGCGGTGTCGGTATCGGACATGTCTCAAAGGGGCGGTGTCGGTATCGGACATGTCTCAAAGGGGCGGTGTCAGTATGGGGCATGTCTCAAAGGGGCGGTGTCGGTATGGGGCATGTCTCAGAGGCGGTGTCGGTATCGGGCATGTCTCAAAGGGGCGGTGTCGATATCGGACATGTCTCAGAGGGGCGGTGTCGTATCGGGCATGTCTCAGAGGCGGTGTCGGTATCGGGCATGTCTCAAAGGGGCGGTGTCGATATCGGACATGTCTCAGTGGGGCGGTGTCGTATCGGGCATGTCTCACAGGGGCGGTGTCGGTATCGGGCATGTCTCAGAGGCGGTGTCGGTATCGGGCATGTCTTAAAGGGGCGGTGTCGATATCGGACATGTCTCAGAGGGGCGGTGTCGTATCGGGCATGTCTCAGAGGCGGTGTCGGTATCGGGCATGTCTCAAAGGGGCGGTGTCGGTATCGGTCATGTCTCAAAGGGGCGGTGTCGGTATCGGTCATGTCTCAAAGGGGCGGTGTTGGTATCGGTCATGTCTCAAAGGGGCGGTGTTGGTATCGGTCATGTCTCAAAGGGGCGGTGTTGGTATCGGTCATGTCTCAAAGGGGCGGTGTTGGTATCGGTCATGTCTCAAAGGAGCGGTGTTGGTATCTGTTGCGAAAGTTGGGTCAACAGGACCCTAACAAGATGGCAGCCACATCCATCCACTGCAGTTAAACGTTTCTTCTTCAAGAATTAAAGCTTATAATCAGATCCTCAAACCAGAGGTTATTCCACACAGTAAACCGAACCTGGATAGACCAGGATTAAGACCGCTTCCAGATTTTATATACCTTAATAGACCGCTGTCCAGAATCAGGATCCAGACCAGTTCCAGATTTTATACCTTAATTGACCGCTCTCCAGAACCAGGTTCCAGACCGGTTCCAGATTTTATACCTTAATGGACCGCTCTCCAGAACCAGGATCCAGACTGGTTCCAGATCTTATACCTCAACAGACCGCTCTCCAGAACCAGGATCCAGACTGGTTCCAGATCTTATACCTTAATAGACTGCTGTCCAGAACCAGGATCCAGACTGGTTCCAGATCTTATACCTCAACAGACCGCTGTCCAGAGCCAGGATCCAGACGGTTCCAGATCTTATACCTTAATAGACCGCTGTCCAGAGCCAGGATCCAGACCTCAGTGTGAATGTGCATCTAGAACTGGTTCCAGATGCAGAAGTCCAGTAGAATCTGGGAGTTCTGGTTCTGTTCGGTAACAGGTCGGGTCATGTGTCTGAGGACAGCGGCGTGCTGGAGGCACGAGGCTTCAGCCCCCGCTGCGCTTTAATCTGCTCACGTGCGGACTACCTGGAGAGAGAGAGAGAGAGAGCTAGGGAGGGAGGGAGGGAAAGGGGGCGGAGCCAGCCTCTCCGGCTGCCTTAGTCCTCCCAGCAGCTCCCAGCCAGAACCAGAGCGATGGTCTCAGGCTCAGCAGCAGGCAGCAGCAGCTCATGTTGTCTGCTCGGAGGGAGACCTTCCTGGGTGTCACCTTCAGCGGAGCGCCGGCTGCAGCGGTGAGTCCCCCCCACCCTCTCTACCTCCTCCTGTCCTCTCAGTCTCCTTGTCTCTGTCCTCTGTCTCTGTCCTCCTCAGCATCACAGTTTTCCACCAGATGTTGATGGGATCAGCCTCTAAATGCCGGTTCTGCTGTGGTTCTGATGTCCTCCTGCTTCTCTGCTCTAAAACATTTTAACTTTAAATAATCTCTCAGTTCATGGAGCCAAATATTTACTTCCTCTGTTTTCCCCTGCGATTTCCCTGCTTCCTGGGTTCTATGCCTGATTCTATGCTGGGTTCTATGGCTGGTTCTATGCCTAGTTCTATGCCTGGTTCTATGTCTGGTTCTACGCTGGGTTCTATGCCTGGTTCTATGCTGGGTTCTATGCCTGGTTCTATGCCTGGTTCTATGCCTGGTTCTGTGCCTGGTTCTATGCTGGGTTCTATGCCTGGTTCTATGTCTGGTTCTATGCCTGGTTCTATGCTGGGTTCCAGGTTCTGTTTCAACCTGGTTCTGGTTTTCCAGAGGGAAGCGTTTCCAGCCCATAATACTTTCCTGGTGATCAGATGTTGATCAGACATTCATGGGTTGATCCGATTGGTTCCAGCGGTTCTGTGGTTCTGTGATAAACGGGTTAATTCCCCTAAATCGGAACCATCTGTCCTCCAGGATCAGAGTTAAACTCTCTGGGTTTGTTTTCATTTCCCTCTGGGGTTTGATAAACTGACAGATTCCCCCTCGGTTCTACAGAACTTTCCTCAGAACCGGACCTCAGCAGCTCCTGCTCTCTAACAGGTGATAATCAGACACCCTGCCTGCAGGTGTTCAGCTGAACCGGGTCCATCAGAACCATCAGCTCCTCCGACGGCTGTAGAACCACAACCAGCCTGGTTCTGAAGCTGGGTTCCAGAACCAGTATAAAGCTGGACTCCTCGGTATCAGACCAGCAGATCTGACTGGTTCCCCTTAAAGACCAACCAGAGGCTGAAGTGGACCGGACCGGTACCTTCAGAACTAACTGGACCCAAATGCAGCTGGAGGGAATCGGTGTGTCAGTAGAGCTGTTATCAGGCGGCCCCCGCCCCATAAATCACAGGGGGGGTGGTGGGTGGTTGTTGTGTGTCTTCTTGTCATATCACTACAAAAATAACTTCAGCGAGTCCAACGGAAACTCTCCCCCCCTCCTCCCCCCCAGGCTGTATAAATAGACAGGGTGTGATGGGGGGGGTGAACATGTCCTGACAGCCCCCTAATCGGGGTTCTTCTGGTCCCCCAGAATCGTCCTGGAGGACCTGAGGCCAGGATGGAGCAGGAGGCGTGTCCTAAGGAGCTGGGCTCCACCAATCACCTGCGGCTGCTGCTCTACATCCTGATTCCCAGCGTCAGCCTGCTGGGGGCGCTGCTGCTGGGCCTGGCCCTCACAGGTACGTCCTCTCCATGACGACCTCTGACCCCACGCCTTCTCCCTACCTCCTTCACCTGGTTCACTTCATCCCTTCTTCATTGTGTCTTTCACTTTTTTCACTTCTTCTTTCATCAATCTTTCCTTCCTTCTTTTCACCCATCATCCATCCATCATCATCCCTCCATCCATCCATCATCATCCCTCCATCCTTCCATCATCATCCCTCCATCCATCAAGCCTCCATCCATTCCTTCATCCCTCCATCCATCAATCCTCCATCCATTCCTCCATCCATCCCTCCATCCATCAATCCTCCATCCATTCCTCCATCCATCCCTCCATCCATCAATCCTCCATCCATTCCTCCATCCATCCCTCCATCCATCAATCCTCCATCCATCATCCATCCATCCATCGCCCGTCCATCCATCATCCATCCATCAATCCTTCATCCATCCCTCCATCCATCATCATCATTCATCCATCCATCATCATCATTCATCCATCCATCCATCCATCAATCCTTCATCCATCCCTCCATCCATCATCATCATCCATCCATCCATCCATCCATCATCATCATTCATCCATCTATCCATCATCATCATCCATCCCTCCATCCATCCATCCATCCATCATCATCATTCATCCATCTATCCATCATCATCATCCATCCCTCCATCCATCCATCCATCCATCTATCCATCCATCCTTCATCCATCCATCCATCCATCAACCCTCCATCCATCAAACCTCCATCCATCAATCCATCCATCCATAAATCCTCCATCCATCAAGCATCCATCCATCCCTCCATCCATCAATCCTCCATCCATCAAACCTCCATCCATCAAACCTCCATCCATCAATCCTCCATCCATCAAACCTACATCCCTCCATCCATCAATCCTCCATCCATCAAACCTCCATCCCTCCATCCATCAATCCTCCATCCATCAAACCTCCATCCCTCCATCCATCAATCCTCCATCCATCAAACCTCCATCCATCAATCCTCCATCCATCAAACCTCCATCCATCAATCCTCCATCCATCAAACCTCCATCCATCAATCCTCCATCCATCAAACTTCCATCCATCAAACCTCCATCCATCAATCCTCCATCCATCAAACTTCCATCCATCAATCCTCCATCCATCAATCCTCCATCCATCAAACCTCCATCCATCAAACCTCCATCCATCAAACCTCCATCCATCAATCCTCCATCCATCAAACCTCCATCCATCAAACCTCCATCCATCAAACCTCCATCCATCAATCCTCCATCCATCAATCCTCCATCCATCAAACTTCCATCCATCAATCCTCCATCCATCAATCCTCCATCCATCAAACCTCCATCCATCAAACCTCCATCCATCAATCCTCCATCCATCAAACCTCCATCCATCAATCCTCCATCCATCAAACTTCCATCCATCAATCCTCCATCCACCAATCCTCCATCCATCAATCCTCCATCCATCAATCCTCCATCCATCAAACTTCCATCCATCAATCCTCCCTCCTCCATCCATCAAACCTCCATCCATCAATCCTCCATCCATCAAACCTCCATCCATCAAACTTCCATCCATCAAACCTCCATCCATCAAACCTCCATCCATCAAACCTCCATCCATCTATCCACCCATCAAACCTCCATCCATCAATCCTCCATCCATCAAACCTCCATCCATCCATCCATCAATCCTCCATCCATCAATCCATCCATCCTCCATCCATCAAACCTCCATCCATCAATCCTCCATCCATCAAACTTCCATCCATCAATCCTCCATCCATCAAACCTCCATCCATCAAACCTCCATCCATCTATCCACCCATCAAACCTCCATCCATCAATCCTCCATCCATCAAACCTACATCCATCCATCCATCCATCCATCAAACCTCCATCCATCAATCCTCCATCCATCAAACCTCCATCCATCAATCCTCCATCCATCAAACCTCCATCCATCAAACCTCCATCCATCAATCCTCCATCCATCAAACTTCCATCCATCAAACCTCCATCCATCAAACCTCCATCCATCCATCAACCCTCCATCCATCCCTGCTGTTTCCACTGTGGTGAATAAAGGAATGAAGAACAGCTTGTAGGAGGGATGATGACACACATGTCGTGTTGATTTAAACCACGCATGCTTCTGTTTCTCTGTGCGTGTGCTTCATGTGGTCGCCATGACAGCGGGGAGTCCCTCAGCCAACCAGAAACGGGCTCAGGCTGCTAGACTGAAAGAATTTCCAAACATTTAGCAGGTAGTAGAAGAGGCGTTTGTTTTTCCTCCTGGTTCCTCGTCTTCTTTTCCTCCTCAGTCTCTCCAGTCCGTCCCTCTGATCTTCCTCCCTCAGCAGCTGCTTTCTCCTGCCTCCTCCTCCTCCTCTCATTACCATCTCTCCATTAAACACTTAATGGTCTGTAACATCCCTCCCGCCTCGCTGTTTCTGTTCGCCGGCGGCCTTCACAGGCGGAGAGAGAAAGAAAGAAAGAAGCTCTTCTTTTAACTGCTGTTGCCATAGATCCTCAGCAGATGTTCCTCTTTGATGGGAGTCAAACTGTTATTTATGCTCCGCAGGGACAAACATCACCGCAAGAAAACCTCAGCATGAGGCCAAGGCAGCGCTGCAGACCCTGCAGCCATTAGGCAGGGGCTGACCTTTCACCTCTGTGGACTCACATTCAGCCAGAGTTTTACAGGAAAAGTTCAGTCAGCAAGGAATTATCATCTCTATAAATATGCTTCCATTTTAATAATCAAACAGAATAAGACGATATATTTGTGAATATATGATGTAATAATAATAATCAGATTGATTTCCAGTCTTCTGTCTTAACTGTGAAAAGCAAAGATAATTTCCTGCTTCCTCAGAAAGTTCGGGGTCAACATTAAGAATTATACAGTTTGTACATGAATGTTACAAAATATTGGGCTCTATTGTTTTAATCCACGGCGTCCTCCAAAGGGAAAAACAATCATTTTCATCATGATGACTGAGTCTGGGAGCGCCCATTTTTGCCCAAATATAGTAATCTAAGCAGTGACGTCACGGTAAGCGTAGCGCCATTCTCCCCGCTTTACAAGCTAAATCAATGGGAACTACTAGACACATCTGCAATCAACAACAATTATTGAAGATTTCCAGAGGACTTCACCATTGAAATTCACCAGAGCTATAGTGAAACTGACAATGCCCACGTGCATGGCAGCTGGATGCTGGAATACATCGGGTAAAAGTGGAAAAAAGAGTAATTCCACCTTTCTGATTCCTGATCCTCCACGGACGGGTTGGTCGTTGGATTGCGCCCGTTGGTTACGTAACTCCACCTCCCTTGCATGGTGCCTGCGCCATGTTAGCAACAGCGGGCTAGTGTGATAGCAAATCCCATAATTCTTTGCGATGACAGCTCTCGACGCAAAGCATTCTGGGATATATCTGCTCATCTAGTGACCATGGATGATCACTACTTTTCAAGGAGCATTGTGGGAAATTTTGAGTCCACTACTTTTTCATCAAGTAGTCGTTCAGACACTCATTTAAAATGGCGTAACTCCCATATAGTTCCCTATATAGGGGTTAGGGCGAACATTCGGACACTCATTTAAAATGGCCTAACTCCCATATAGTGCCCTATATAGGGGTTAGGGCGGACATTCGGACACTCATTTAAAATGGCCTAACTCCCATATAGTGCCCTATATAGGGGTTAGGGCGAACATTCGGACACTCATTTAAAATGGCCTAACTCCCATATAGTGCCCTATATAGGGGTTAGGGCGAACATTCGGACACTCATTTAAAATGGCGTAACTCCCATATAGTGCCCTATATAGGGGTTAGGGCGAACATTCGGACACTCATTTAAAATGGCCTAACTCCCATATAGTGCCCTATATAGGGGTTAGGGCGAACATTCGGACACTCATTTAAAATGGCGTAACTCCAATATAGTGCCCTATATAGGGGTTAGGGCGAACATTCGGACACTCATTTAAAATGGCCTAACTCCCATATAGTGCCTTATATAGTGCCCTATATAGGGGTTAGGGCGGACATTCGGACACTCATTTAAAATGGCCTAACTCCCATATAGTGCCCCATATAGTGCCCTATATAGGGGTTAGGGCAGACATTCGGACACTCATTTAAAATGGCGTAACTCCCATATAGTGCCCTATATAGGGGTTAGAGCGGACATTCGGACACTCATTTAAAATGGCGTAACTCCCATATAGTGCCCTATATAGGGGTCAGGGCGAACATTCGGACACTCATTTAAAATGGCGTAACTCCAATATAGTGCCCTATATAGGGGTTAGGGCGAACATTCGGACACTCATTTAAAATGGCCTAACTCCCATATAGTGCCTTATATAGTGCCCTATATAGGGGTTAGGGCGGACATTCGGACACTCATTTAAAATGGCCTAACTCCCATATAGTGCCCCATATAGTGCCCTATATAGGGGTTAGGGCAGACATTCGGACACTCATTTAAAATGGCGTAACTCCCATATAGTGCCCTATATAGGGGTTAGAGCGGACATTCGGACACTCATTTAAAATGGCCTAACTCCCATATAGTGCCCTATATAGGGCTCAGGGCGAACATTTGGACACATTTAAAATGGCGTAACTCCCATATAGTGCCCTATATAGGGGTTAGGGCAGACATTCGGACACTCATTTAAAATGGAGTAACTCCCATATACTGCCCTATATAGGGGTCAGGGCGGACATTCGGACACTCATTTAAAATGGCGTAACTCCCATATAGTGCCCTATATAGGGGTAAGGGCGAACATTCGGACACTCATTTAAAATGGCCTAACTCCCATATAGTGCCCTATATAGGGGTCAGGGCGGACATTCGGACACTCATTTAAAATGGCCTAACTCCCATATAGTGCCCTATATAGGGGTTAGGGCAGACATTCGGACACTCATTTAAAATGGCGTAACTCCCATATAGTGCCCTATATAGGGGTTAGGGCAGACATTCGGACACTCATTTAAAATGGCGTAACTCCCATATAGTGCCCTATATAGGGGTTAGAGCGGACATTCGGACACTAATTTAAAATGGCGTAACTCCCATATAGTGCCCTATATAGGGGTCAGGGCGAACATTCGGACACTCATTTAAAATGGCCTAACTCCCATATAGTGCCCTATATAGGGGTTAGGGCAGACATTCGGACACTCATTTAAAATGGCCTAACTCCCATATAGTGCCCCATATAGTGCCCTATATAGGGGTTAGGGCAGACATTCGGACACTCATTTAAAATGGCGTAACTCCCATATAGTGCCCTATATAGGGGTTAGGGCGAACATTCGGACACTCATTTAAAATGGCGTAACTCCTATATAGTGCCCTATATAGGGGTTAGGGCGAACATTCGGACACTCATTTAAAATGGCCTAACTCCCATATAGTGCCCTATATAGGGGTTAGGGCGAACATTCGGACACTCATTTAAAATGGCGTAACTCCAATATAGTGCCCTATATAGGGGTTAGGGCGAACATTCGGACACTCATTTAAAATGGCCTAACTCCCATATAGTGCCTTATATAGTGCCCTATATAGGGGTTAGGGCGGACATTCGGACACTCATTTAAAATGGCCTAACTCCCATATAGTGCCCCATATAGTGCCCTATATAGGGGTTAGGGCAGACATTCGGACACTCATTTAAAATGGCGTAACTCCCATATAGTGCCCTATATAGGGGTTAGAGCGGACATTCGGACACTCATTTAAAATGGCGTAACTCCCATATAGTGCCCTATATAGGGGTCAGGGCGAACATTCGGACACTCATTTAAAATGGCGTAACTCCAATATAGTGCCCTATATAGGGGTTAGGGCGAACATTCGGACACTCATTTAAAATGGCCTAACTCCCATATAGTGCCTTATATAGTGCCCTATATAGGGGTTAGGGCGGACATTCGGACACTCATTTAAAATGGCCTAACTCCCATATAGTGCCCCATATAGTGCCCTATATAGGGGTTAGGGCAGACATTCGGACACTCATTTAAAATGGCGTAACTCCCATATAGTGCCCTATATAGGGGTTAGAGCGGACATTCGGACACTCATTTAAAATGGCCTAACTCCCATATAGTGCCCTATATAGGGCTCAGGGCGAACATTTGGACACATTTAAAATGGCGTAACTCCCATATAGTGCCCTATATAGGGGTTAGGGCAGACATTCGGACACTCATTTAAAATGGAGTAACTCCCATATACTGCCCTATATAGGGGTCAGGGCGGACATTCGGACACTCATTTAAAATGGCGTAACTCCCATATAGTGCCCTATATAGGGGTAAGGGCGAACATTCGGACACTCATTTAAAATGGCCTAACTCCCATATAGTGCCCTATATAGGGGTCAGGGCGGACATTCGGACACTCATTTAAAATGGCCTAACTCCCATATAGTGCCCTATATAGGGGTTAGGGCAGACATTCGGACACTCATTTAAAATGGCGTAACTCCCATATAGTGCCCTATATAGGGGTTAGGGCAGACATTCGGACACTCATTTAAAATGGCGTAACTCCCATATAGTGCCCTATATAGGGGTTAGAGCGGACATTCGGACACTAATTTAAAATGGCGTAACTCCCATATAGTGCCCTATATAGGGGTCAGGGCGAACATTCGGACACTCATTTAAAATGGCCTAACTCCCATATAGTGCCCTATATAGGGGTTAGGGCAGACATTCGGACACTCATTTAAAATGGCGTAACTCCCATATAGTGCCCTATATAAGGGTTAGAGCGGACATTCGGACACTCATTTAAAATGGCGTAACTCCCATATAGTGCCCTATATAGGGGTCAGGGCGAACATTCGGACACTCATTTAAAATGGCGTAACTCCCATATAGTGCCCTATATAGGGGTTAGGGCGGACATTCGGACACTCATTTAAAATGGCGTAACTCCCATATAGTTCCCTATATAGGGGTTAGGGCTAACATTCGGACACAGCCTTGTATCATAACAGTAACCTGGCGTAAGCTAGATGGATCCGTTTAGTTCGGTTTTAATTCTACACGGTCTCCATCTGGTAAGACTCCTGTAGAAAGTATCCGCAGAAGGGAGGGACATTTAGTACAACTCTTCAAGCTAATTGGATAAATCAAGTGATCCATGTTGGCCAATCGCAGGTATGAGCTCTGAAGTATCTAATTCTTCATTTCTTTTACTAGTAGCAGAATTAACTGATAAATCAAACTCCTACTAAATCTGGTATGGAAAAACAAGCAAACATCTTTTCCATCCAAAGAGAGCACAGATCACGTCCTTTTGCTAGTTTTCAAAGGACTCAGAGGATATTCCAGCTAAAACTGGAGCAGCCATCTTTGTTTTGCTTCAGCTTTTTGCCTCTGGTTGATGTGTTGACGTCGTACATGTCTCTACATCTCATTGGTCTGACACATTTCTGTATCGAGCCCAACGCATCTGTTGGCGTCAGGTCAGATGTACTTTAGTGAGTTTGTGAATTCACAAATCTCGCAACTATTTATCTTGCTTGAAGGTAACTATTGCAACAGTGTAGTGTGAAAACAAGGTTTACCGCTCAGCTAAACTACAAAGAACGTTCTGGGTTTCCGCAGAACTCAGCACTGGGGTTTCTTTAACTGAGACTCCATAAAGGGACTGAGATGTAGAAGGATCCTGTTATTGAAACGTCACTAATAGCACAGCATCGTCTGCATAGAGGTGAAACACGAACCATTTCAGCTCAATTTAAAAAGCAGGGGACCGAACTGACAGCCCTGAGGCATCGCAGATGTTCACACCAGAGTCTGCTAAATCAGATAAATACACTTTGGTTCTAATTTTACCATCAATCAGTTCAGGACTTGTTGTCTGAAGTTTTAGCTCCCGCAGCAGAAGAGCTTACTGTTAACTGTTTGCTTGTTCTCCTCAGGGATGTTTGGGAGAAACCTCCTTGAATCCAGGCCCTTCCCCTCCACAGAGACTATTGCTGACAACAACTATGGCTACCATAGCAACAGCACCACCAGCCCTCCCATCCCTTTCTACTTGTCAGAGGCTGAAAACGTCACCTCGTCTGTGCGGGTCAAGGCACGCCACGGCCAAAGACCGCTGGCCTACACTCAAGCTCCTACAGCTGCCTCCTCTCAGGCTCCGCCTACACAGCTGTCTACGAAGCTTCCTGATTGGCTTTCCTCTGTGACATCACTGAGCACCGCCTGGCCGATGAGCAGCAGCACCCCAGCATCCGACACAGGTATCCCCAAGTTCTCTGTTTGGAGAAGAACGGTTCCTAGAAAGGCTGACAGCCAGGAGGATGTGTTAGAGCTGTAGGAGGACAAAAACTCCCACAATCCTTCAGTGCTGCAGCCTGTCTGTTTTTGTTGTCCTGTCCTTTCCTGCCACGCCGAATCCCATTAGAGCAGCGCAGCTGATCCAATAAGAGCCGCCGTGACGGACAGAGAGTCTGAGCTGAATTCTGATCCGCTGACACCCTCCCTCTGTGGACCAACACGTGTCTGTGAGGGCCAGGGAATTCACGGGTGGCCCAGGGGGGTCCGAGGCCCGCTTCAGGTGGAACATTTCTGCTAAATCATTTCTGCTTTAAGATTCCCCTCGTCTCCGTCCGTCTCCGCTGCGCTCCTCCGCCGTCCTTCTGTGTCTCTCTCTGTATTAATGGGGTGTTGAGGTGAATGCTGATGAGCCTGGCTCCGTCCTGCGTTCTGATTGGATGGCGCGAGGTCATCAGACTGATTGGAAGTTTAACCTACAGCGTCCTAACAGAAGCAGAGATTCTGGTTTGTTTGAGAACAAACAGAACCTCAACTGATAGAAAAACTCACAGAGGTGCCCGACTGAATGGTTACATCAGAACCAGGAAGTAGAACTGGAGCAGGTAGATTACAGAGTGTTTAGATTGTTTCTGCTTAGTTTAGATCTGGACTGTTTCTCTGCAGTAAAATAATGTTGAGTTCTGGTTCCTGCAGGAAGATGCCAGCTGATGGTGGAGCCTCAGTGCCACATGCTGCCCTACAACCAGACCTGGCTGTCCTCCTCCGTCGCCGTGGTGAAGAGCTCAGAGGTGGACATGTTGCTAAGGTAACCGCCGCTCCATGATGCTGGAACATCTGGAGGGAAAATATGGAGCTAAATTAGGGGCAAAAAGTAAAAAGATTTAAAAGTGAAAAAAATTGATCTTAAGAAAAAAAAATAATGAAACCTGAAAAAGATTTAAACATGGAAAAAAATTACAATAAACATTTTTAAAGAAAAGCATTTATGCCTAAAAGGAATTTGTTAAAACAAAGATTTAAATCTGGAAATAAACTAAAAAAACCTGGGAAGAAAAAAGTTTTTTTAGAAAAAATATTTTCTGAATAAAAACCTTGAAGCCTAAAAAGAATTAGTTAAAAAGGTGTAAACCTGGAAAAAAAAGTTTTTAAAAAGAATAATTTAACCTTAAAACAATTGTTTAAAGGAAAAAATTAAAGCTTAAAAAGCGAATTTGTTAGGAAGCAATTTAAACTTTGAAAAAAAGTTTTTTAGAAAAAAATGAAAACCTAAAAAAAATTGTTTACAGAAAAAAATGAAACCTAAAAGAATTTGTTCAAAAAGAATCTAACCTGGAAAAAGGTTTATTTGAAAAAATAAATAAATGAACCTGAATGTAACGGTAACCTGAGGCCCCGCCCCCTCATGACAAAACACAGCCAGAAGATTGAACCAAAAAAAAAAAAATGGCTGTTGGTAATAAAAATTTAAAAATAAAAAATGACTGAAAAGTAGTTTTCCTTTTGAGAAAAACTATTTTATTTATTTGTATTTTTAACAGCTTCATAGCTCCAGTATAGCTCCATAGACCTCAGCAGATCCTCTGGTTCAGGCGGCGTTCTGACGTCTATCGTCTGCATCCTTCTATGCAGACATGAGAACTTTGGAGCAGAGGAACCAGAGGTTCTGCTGGCTGGGGTCCAGTTTCTCTCTGCTTCAGCCCAGCTTTCATTAAACAGTGTTTGGATCAGAACCGTGGTGCTGTGTGCTGCAGGTTCTTCAGCTACCTCAGCAGACTCTCCTGCTACAGACACATCATGCTGTTCGGCTGCTCGCTGGCGCTGCCCGAGTGTTTGGAGGCCGACGGGACCGACGGCAGGTACGGCAAACCGTGAGGTCCAACCTTTTCCCTGTTAACACCTGCTAATGCCTCCCTAAGCCTTCTGGGATACGTAGTTGTCGCCTGCAGCCATAAAACACTCACTAACAGGCGTGCGTTCCTCCGCATGGAGCTCAGCTGTTCAGACGGTAAATGATACGGCAGCTGGGCGAGCTGGACTAAGAATAACACGCAGAACACAAACACACGCAGCTCCAGTAACCGTAGCTTCAACTCTGCATGACCTCTGACCCCTGCTGGGACGGCTGTGGGAAGCTGAGTCCCTCTGCTGCTCCGCTGATGGGTTTCTAGTAAAGCTGGAAGGTTGGACACGGCGTCCCAGCGGTGTTCTGTCAGACCAGCAGAGTGTATTTAAGGTCAGATGAGCATACGCTTCACAAACGACCCAAAAGTAACACTTAGTGTTTTTTTTGTACATGATTAAAGGTATACACGCCCATAGAGGTAGTTTAAAGTTTATTTTTTAAACTAAACTAAAGGGATAACCGGGTATTGATGGTTATGCTGGTCTGACCGGTCCGGTTAGCGCTTAGGGCGAACTTATCACTGAATGTTCCAGAAGAACGAAGCTGCGGTCCAACATCTAGATCTGAGCGTCTCCGTTGTTTTAAAGTAGATCCTTGTGGAACATGGCGGCTCTGAGGGACCTCCTCCTCCTGAGTTTAACCCGTTTCCCTCCTCCCCAGGAGGGTGGTGCTGCCGTGCGCCTCGTTCTGCGAGGCGGCGAGGGAAGGCTGCGAGCCCGTCCTGCAGATGTTCAACGCCTCCTGGCCGGACTTCCTGCGCTGCTCGCAGTTCAGCAGAAACACCTCGTCTCCAACCACAACGTCGCCGCCCTCCTCCTCGTCGCCCCTGGCGACCACAGGCCCGGCGCCGCCGGCGTGTTTCTCGCCACGTCAGATCAAAGGAAAACCCTGTGAGTATCCACCAGCATTAGGCCCTTCGTTACCATGACATCACTCCTGTAATCCTGCTCTCTGATTGGTGGGCAGCTGTGTGCGGCGGGAAGGACAACTACCTGTGTGCGAAGGGGATCTGCGTCGCTCAGAAACTGGTGTGCAACGGTTACAATGACTGCGACGACTGGAGCGACGAGACGCACTGCGGTGAGCTCACAGTCACAGCATTGCTGTCTGGGTCGTCATGGAAATGATTGATTGGGTGGACCTTCCTGAGTGACATCAGCGTGGTGTCATGGGAACAGGCAGACGGCGGGGCTTCTTGGCCTCGCGCTGACCTCAGCCTTCATGCTGCAGGGATTTATTGGTGGCATCAGAACAAAGAGGAGAAAAGCAAACAGTCTGAAAAGAAGCAGAAAGGTCCGAGGGTCAGGAGCAAAGATCCGGAACGTCTGCGGGTCCAGTCAGGAACGCCAGAGGTGATGATGACGATGATGATGATGGTGAGAGCTCTCTGTCTGTTGCAGAGTGTCCTGAGGAACAGTTTCGGTGTAACACCGGCCGATGTCTGCCTCCTGCGCTGGTCTGTGACGGTTACGACGACTGCGGAGACCTGAGCGACGAACTGAACTGTGGTGAGAGAACAGTAATGCTCTCTGTAACCGCCTGCCTGGTGCATGCTGGGTAACTGCTCTGTGTGTGCCGTGGCAGTGTGTAACGTGTCCAGGGAACATCGCTGCGGGGACGGCCGCTGTGTCTCCAGGGACTGGCTCTGTGACGGAGACCATGACTGCCTGGACAAGAGCGACGAGCTCAACTGCTGTGAGTCTCTATGGGTGGGCGGGGTTAATCAGCGGAGCGACAGGTCTGCAGCCTCACTTAGCCTCGGATCCTGGGTGAAAGCTGTCTGTGTCTGCAGCCTGCAGGAGCCAGGGCCTCCTGGAGTGCAGGAACGGTCAGTGCATCCCGTCGGCCTTCCGCTGCGACGGCGAGGACGACTGCAGGGACGGCAGCGACGAGGAGCACTGCAGCCGAGAGCAGAGTGAGCCGTCTGTCCTCCTCTAACATCTCTGTCTGTGTTTGAGTCAGAGAGGGAGAGTTTTAAAGCAGGCCGTCAGAACCTGACAGATCTGAAGGGAGCAGAAAGCCAAACCACAAAAAGCTCAGTTTCTTCCTAATCCTGGATTAATCTGGATTAGTCCAGCTTTATCAGGTTAGCGTAGAACCCACAACCTGTCAACCACAGTGTTGTTTTATTTCTTTCTTTTTTCAATGACGATAATGAAAACTGATGAGCTAAATATGGATCTTGGATGACGAAAACATAATGAGTCATAGGTTTGAGTTTTCATTGACAAGACTAAATCAAAAGTGTAAAATGCATCATTGTGCTGAACAGGAAGTGGGCTGATCATACAGGAAGTGGGCTGATCAAACAGGAAGTGGGCTGATCATACGGGAAGTGGGCTGATCATACAGGAAGTGGGCTGATCAAACAGGAAGTGGGCTGATCATACGGGAAGTGGGCTGATCATACGGGAAGTGGGCTGATCAAACAGGAAGTGGGCTGATCAAACAGGAAGTGGGCTGATCATACAGGAAGTGGGCTGATCAAACAGGAAGTGGGCTGATCATACAGGAAGTGGGCTGATCAAACAGGAAGTGGGCTGATCATACGGGAAGTGGGCTGATCAAACAGGAAGTGGGCTGATCAAACAGGAAGTGGGCTGATCATACAGGAAGTGGGCTGATCAAACAGGAAGTGGGCTGATCATACGGGAAGTGGGCTGATCATACGGGAAGTGGGCTGATCAAACAGGAAGTGGGCTGATCATACGGGAAGTGGGCTGATCAAACAGGAAGTGGGCTGATCATACAGGAAGTGGGCTGATTATACAGGAAGTGGGCTGATCATACAGGAAGTGGGCTGATCATACAGGAAGTGGGCTGATCATACAGGAAGTGGGCTGATCATACAGGAAGTGGGCTGATCATACAGGAAGCGGGCTGATCAAACAGGAAGCGGGCTGATTATACAGGAAGTGGGCTGATCATACAGGAAGTGGGCTGATCAAACAGGAAGTGGGCTGATCAAACAGGAAGTGGGCTGATCATAGAACAGATCTCTGAGGGCTGGGTTCTCCTCAGGGGAACCGTTGGCCCAACATGGATCCTGAGCCACGAAGGTAAGAAACTCATCCAGAAGGGACAGCTGAATCTCTGCGTCCTTCAGCACAGAGCCGATTAATAGATTAGCCCAGCTAGAAACGATCAGAATCAACCTGGGTGTGGCTCTGTGGTTCAGGCCTTTAATCCTGGTCCATTTGGGACTGGCTCAGTTCTGTCTGACTGGATTTGTAGTAAAGAAAGAAGGATGATTGGACCTGACGAGAACCTCTGATCTTAGGAGTGTTGAAGTTCTAATGTGGTCCAGTTGTTCTGCCTTAAAGACAGATAACGGTACTGTGATCCGACTCAGATACTGAGGAAGGAGTCAGTTCTGACCCAGACTCTGTCTCCTCAGACCAGGGTGTGTGCGGTCCCTCTCAGCCCGGCTGCTCGTCGTCTCCCTGCCCGCCGGCCTGTGGGGGAGGCGGCGCCGCCTGCGACACCAGAACCAACAACTGCTGTGAGTTTTCAGAACCCGTAAACCTGATCTACCAGCTCTAGCTCTGCGCTGCTGAATGTCCCCCCCTGCTGGCCGGACTCCTCTTTGTTCTGACTCTCCTCTCTGTCCTGCAGCGCGCTGTGAGCCCATCACCCTGGAGCTGTGCATGAACCTGCCCTACAACCTGACCAGCTACCCCAACTACCTGGGCCACCTGTCCCAGAGGGAGAGCTCCGTGTCCTGGGAGTCCTCGCTGTTCCCGGCACTGGTCCAGACCGGCTGCTACCAGTACCTCATGTTCTACGCCTGCACGCTGCTGGTTCCAAAGTGCGACCCGCTCAGCCTGCATAGGGTGCCACCCTGCAGGTCGCTGTGCCGCAGCGCTAAGGAGAAGTGCGAGTCGGTGCTCGGCATCGTTGGGCTGCAGTGGCCCGAAGACTCGGACTGCAGCCAGTTCCCAGAGGAAGGAAACTCCACCTGCCTGATGCCAGAGGACGGAGTGGATGGTACGCCGCCTCTGTTCTGTTGTCATGTTGATGCTTTGACCCTGGGTCCTGATGCCTACCTATTTCCTTGGTGACAGAGTGCTCCCCTAGCCACTTCAAGTGCCGGTCTGGTCGCTGTGTCCTGGCCACCAAGCGCTGCGACGGACACCTGGACTGTGACGACCACAGCGACGAAGACCACTGTGGTGGGTCCAGATGTCCTCCTTGTTCCTGACCCTCTGACCTTTGTAAATCTGATTCCTCCTGACCTCTATTAACTCTGACCTTTGTGACTCCCCTGATCTCTCTAACCTCTGTGACCCTATGACCTCTGTGACTCCCCTGTTCTCTCTAACCTCTGTGACCCCTGACTTCTGTGACTCCCATTTTCTCTCTGACCTCTATTACTCCTGACCTGACTCCCCTGTTCTCTCTAACCTCTGACCTCTGTGACTCCCCTGTTCTCTCTGACCTCTGTGACTCCCTGATCTCTCTAACCTCTGTGACCCCTGACTTCTGTGACTCCCCTGTTCTCTGTTACCTCTGTGACTCCCCTGTTCTCTCTAACCTCTGTGACCCCTGACTTCTGTGACTCCCCTGTTCTCTGTTACCTCTGTGACTCCCCTGTTCTCTCTAACCTCTGTGACCCCTGACTTCTGTGACTCCCCTGTTCTCTGTTACCTCTGTGACCCCTGACTTCTGTGACTCCCATTTTCTCTCTGACCTCTATTACTCCTGACCTGACTCCCCTGTTCTCTCTAACCTCTGACCTCTGTGACTCCCCTGTTCTCTCTAACCTCTGACCTCTGTGACTCCCCTGTTCTCTCTAACCTCTGACCTCTGTGACTCCCTGATCTCTCTAACCTCTGTGACCCCTGACTTCTGTGACTCCCCGGTTCTCTCTGACCTCTGTTACTCCTGACCTGACTCCCCTGTTCTCTGTAACCTCTGACCTCTGTGACTCCCCTGTTCTCTCTAACCTCTGACCTCTGTGACTCCCCTGTTCTCTGTAACCTCTGACCTCTGTGACTCCCCTGTTCTCTGTAACCTCTGACCTCTGTGACTCCCCTGTTCTCTCTGACCTCTGTGACTCCCCTGTTCTCTCTAACCTCTGACCTCTGTGACTCCCCTGTTCTCTCTGACCTCTGTGACTCCTCTGATCTCTCTAACCTCTGTGACCCCTGACTTCTGTGACTCCCATGTTCTCTCTGACCTCTGTGACTCCCCTGTTCTCTGTAACCTCTGACCTCTGTGACTCCCCTGTTCTCTGTAACCTCTGACCTCTGTGACTCCCCTGTTCTCTGTAACCTCTGACCTCTGTGACCCCCCTGTTCTCTGTAACCTCTGACCTCTGTGACTCCTCTGTTCTCTGTAACCTCTGACCTCTGTGACTCCCCTGTTCTCTCTAACCTCTGTGACTCCCCTGTTCTCTCTAACCTCTGTGACTCCCCTGTTCTCTCTAACCTCTGTGACCCCCCTGTTCTCTCTAACCTCTGACCTCTGTGACTCCCCTGTTCTCTGTACCCTCTGACCTCTGTGACTCCCCTGATCTCTCTAACCTCTGTGACCCCTGACTTCTGTGACTCCCATGTTCTCTCTGACCTCTGTTACTCCTGACCTGACTCCCCTGTTCTCTGTAACCTCTGACCTCTGTGACTCCTCTGTTCTCTGTAACCTCTGACCTCTGTGACTCCTCTGTTCTCTGTAACCTTTGACCTCTGTGACTCCCCTGTTCTCTCTAACCTCTGACCTCTGTGACTCCCCTGTTCTCTCTAACCTCTGTGACTCCCCTGTTCTCTCTAACCTCTGACCTCTGTGACTCCCCTGTTCTCTGTAACCTCTGACCTCTGTGACTCCCCTGATCTCTCTAACCTCTGTGACCCCTGACCTCTGTGACTCCCCTGTTCTCTCTAACCTCTGTGACTCCCCTGTTCTCTCTAACCTCTGACCTCTGTGACTCCCCTGTTCTCTGTAACCTCTGACCTCTGTGACTCCCCTGTTCTCTCTAACCTCTGTGACTCCCCTGTTCTCTCTAACCTCTGACCTCTGTGACTCCCCTGTTCTCTCTAACCTCTGTGACTCCCCTGTTCTCTCTAACCTCTGACCTCTGTGACTCCCCTGTTCTCTCTAACCTCTGTGACTCCCCTGTTCTCTCTAACCTCTGACCTCTGTGACTCCCCTGTTCTCTGTAACCTCTGACCTCTGTGACTCCCCTGATCTCTCTAACCTCTGTGACCCCTGACTTCTGTGATTCCAATGTTCTCTCTGACCTCTGTTACTCCTGAAGTGGCTCTCCTGTTCTCTCTAACCTCTGACCTCGGTGACTCCCCTGTTCTCTGTAACCTCTGACTTCTGTGACTCCCCTGTTCTCTCTGACCTCTGTGACCCTATGACCTCTGTGACTCCCGTTCTCTCTGACCTCTGTGACTCCCCTGATCTCTCTAACCTCTGTGACCCCTGACCTCTGTGGCAGGCTGCTCTGAGCGCGCTCTGTGGGAGTGTCCCGGCAGCACAGTCTGCATCAAACCCTCGATGATCTGCGACGGGTTCCCAGACTGCCCCCTGCAGGTGGACGAGGCTAACTGCTGTGAGTCTCCTTTATACTCGCTGTGACGCTGCAGCCGGGTTATGAATGTTGTTGCAGCTCTGATCCCGGTTCTGATGATCCTTCTGCAGCCGCCTGCAGGGACAACGAGCTGGCCTGCAGCAACCACCAGTGTGTCCATCGGACGCTGTGGTGTGACGGGAAGAAGCACTGCTCAGACAGCTCCGATGAGTGGAACTGTGGTACAGCCCCAGCCTTGCTCCAGCTCTGTGTTTAAAATGCTTCCTCAGTGTCTGACCGCTTCCCTGTTGATCCCCACAGTCTCTCTGTCCGATCGGTCCGGTTCGGTTCTGACCGTGTTCAAGACTGCAGCAGAGTACCAGGTCTGTGCAGACGAGTGGAACCCCGCCCTGAGCAAGCTGACCTGCAACCAGCTGGGACTAGGGTAAGGTTAGTAACAGCCAGAGCAGAGGTTCCCCCAACAGGAACCAGAGACGTTTCCAACACTTCATACCTACTCCACCTGAAAGCATGGCAGAATGACTGTCATGAGCTTCTCCTCAGGGTTCCCTCCTCTGTTTCCATGGTACCTGACCAGCCTGGAGTCCCCGGCCGTCGCCGTTGGTTACACGTCCATCCAGAGTGGAATCTGAGGAACGGTTCTGCCTTGCAGGCCCGACTGGAGAAGAGAAGGTACCGATTAGAAAGACTCTCAGCGCAGTGTCAGTGGAAAGGATGATTCAAGGTTTGGATAAAGCCATCAAAAGGAGGTCTGGTTACCTTTAAATATGACAGGCGGTGAAAAAAATAACTAGAAAACATAATTTAATTGCTTTTTTTTATAATCCGCCAGTGGAATTAGTATATATGCTCCTAATATAGACCAATATAGACGTGTTATACATCCTTGGAAAGTTTAGATTCTCCACAGTTCACCTGCCAAGTTCATTTTATGGACGCCATGAGCATCAAAGCACAATCAATGAAAATATGGCAGCATGGTCAATTAGAATTTTTGAAATAAAGCTTTGACTTCTTACCTTTGAAGCCATCCTGAGACCGTATTATAAATCTAATCTTAGACTGTTTTGTTGAGTAAAAAATGTTGAGGTTTGTCTGTTCTTACCCTCACAGGCTCCAAACGAAGGTCATGAGAGATAAGAATGAGTCACAGCCTCCTTCATGGCATGAAGGAGAGGATTGCTGTTATTAGGAGATCCATCTGACCAGTGGAAGATAGATTAACCTAACAGGAAATGTCCTTCATGAACTGAAGTTTTTTTCCTCCAAATGTTCGTGTGTGAGGAAGTTTTTGTTTGCATTGTTGGGTTGGTTTCCCTGGGAGATTGTGTATGTATTGGGAGTATAAATGTATGTACTGAGCTTGGCCCAGTCAGAGCGCTATCTCTCCGTCTGAGGACGTAAAATAAATTTTAACTTTCTCTTGGAAGAGTCTCAGTCTCTCCACAACTTCCCAGTTTAAACTCCATTTTTCCATAAGGATCCACAGATAAAAATGAATCCAGCATATTCGTAATAAAAGCATTCCATGATGAGAAAATGACCACCTTCAAGCCTACAAAACAAAAGTGTCCCCCGTCGATTTCTATTGAGAGTTGACACCAGGACAGCGCTCCCGATCTGACGCACTTGCCTTGTTACATTATTTCAATTCAATTTCAATTCAATTCAGTTTATTTATATAGCGCCAAATTCACAACACATGTCATCTCAAGGCACTTTACAGTTCAACCAGATCATACAGTCAAATTGATACAAAGTTTTCTATCTAAGGAAAACCAGTTGATTGCATTGACTCATTGACTCAAATACAATCCCCCACACTAAGCATGCTTGTAGCGACAGTGGAGAGGAAAAACTCCCTTTTAACAGGAAGAAACCTCCAGCAGAACCAGGCTCAGTGTGAGCGGCCATCTGCCGAGGCCGACTGGGGTTCAAGGAGACAGAAGCAGAGACACAAAGAGCAGCTGTAAAAGGCGGCCCCGTCCAGGAAACACACAGCCAGGCAGACGAGCTCCAAGGCAGCTCCCATGCCAGAGGACGAAGAGAGCACATCCAGTTAGTCACGGTCAGAGAAACAGGACCACACTGGAAAACAGGCCGATCTCCAACATCTATTAACAAGGGTGTTGATAGAAGCAGCACAGCTGATGTTTTTTTCCAGGATGACGTCACAGCCAAACAGGAACAGACGAGGCAAAGCTACTCTGAGGAAAAGCAGAGAGAGCAGAACGTTAGAGATTGAACTAACAGATTCTGCAGAATAGGAGAACAGAGAGAGAATGAAGTAGAATGATGAAATGGGGGTCCCTATGTCCTCCAGCAGTCTAAGCCTATAGCAGCATAACTATAGAGATAGCTCAGGATAACCTGAGCCACTCTAACTATAAGCTTTATCAAAAAGGAAAGTTTTAAGCCTAGCCTTAAAAGTAGACAGGGTGTCTGCCTCACGGACTAAAACTGGTAGTTGGTTCCACAGGAGAGGAGCCTGATAACTAAAAGATCTGCCTCCCATTCTACTTTTAGAAATTCTAGGAACCACTAGTAAACCTGCAGATTGAGAGCGAAGTGCTCTGTTAGGAACATAAGGAACAATCAGATCTCTGATATCAGATGGAGCTTGGCCATTTAAGGCTTTATATGTGAGAAGGAGGATTTTAAATTCTATTCTGGATTTAACAGGAAGCCAATGAAGAGAAGCCAGGATAGGCGAGATATGATCTCTCTTTTTAATTTTCATCAGAACCCTGGCTGCAGCATTTTGGATCAGCTGAAGGCTTTTAACTACAGTTTGTGGACTTCCTGATAGTAAAGAATTACAATAGTCCAGCCTTGAAGTAACAAATGCATGGACTAGTTTCTCAGCATCACCCCTGGACAGGAGATTTCTAATTTTTGCAATATTCCTCAGATGAAAGAAGGAAATTCTAGAAACCTCTTTGATGTGGGATTTAAATGACAGGTCCTGATCAAAAATAACACCAAGATTTTTTATTTTATTATCTGAAATCAGTTTAATCCCATCCAAATGAAGTGACTGGCTAATCAGTTTCTTTTTCAGAGACTCTGGTCCAAAGACTATAACTTCTGTTTTGTCTGCATTCAGAAGCAGAAAGTTAAGAGTCATCCAGGTTTTTATGTCTTCAAGACATGCCTGTAATCTATGTAATGGGTTAGCTTCATCTGGATTTATAGACAGATATAGCTGGGTATCATCAGCGTAACAGTGGAAATTAATCCCATGCTGTCTAATAACTCTACCAATTGGGAGCATGTATAAAGTAAAGAGAATTGGTCCTAGCACTGATCCCTGTGGTACTCCACAGGTAACCTTTGAGCGTGTTGAAGATCTATCATTAACATGAACAAACTGAATTCGATCAGATAGATAAGATTTAAACCAGTCTAGTGCTGTTCCTTTAATTCCAACAAAATATTCAAGTCTTTCTAAAAGAATATTATGATCAACTGTATCAAATGCAGCACTAAGATCCAACAGGACGAGCACAGATACAAGTCCATTATCTGAGGCCATGAGAATATCATTAGTGACTTTCACCAGAGCTGTTTCAGTGCTATGATGAGCTCTAAAGCCAGACTGAAACTCTTCAAAAAGTTCATTATGGTGTAAGTGATCGCAAACTTGTTTGGCAACTACTTTCTCAAGAATTTTGGATAAGAAAGGAAGATTGGATATAGGTCTATAATTGACCAAGTCATCTGGGTCAAGAGACGGTTTCTTAAGCAGAGGTTTAATTACAGCAACCTTAAAAGCTTTAGGTACATATCCCTGTAACAGAGATAGATTAATCACATCTAAAATGGAGGAGGAGATCAAAGGGAATACCTCCTTAAATAACCTGGTTGGAACTGGATCTAACATACAAGTTGAAGGCTTAGATGAAGACAATAATTTTGCTAATTCAGAGAGTTCAACTGGATCAAAGCAGTCTAAACCCGGTTCAGATTCCATGACTACCTCAGGTACAATCGCGGATAGAGGAGTGCTTATGATCTTATTTTTAATAAGATCAATCTTATTTATAAAGAATCCCATAAAATCATTGCTGCTAAGAGCAGGTGGAATGGACGGTTCAACAGAGCTATGGCTCTGGGTGAGTTTGGCTACTGTATTAAAAAGAAATCTAGGATTATTCTTATTCTCCTCTATTAATGAGGAGAAGTATGCTGCTCTTGCTTTACAAAGGGTCCTCTTATACTGCAGTAAACCATTTTTCCAGACTAGGAAGGACTCTCGCAGGCCTGTGGAGCGATATTTTCTCTCCAGTTTCCTAGCATTTTGCTTCAAAGTACGCAGCTCTGCATTAAACCAAGGAGCAAGCTTTCTATTTTTAACGGTTTTCATTTTCAAAGGAGCTGCGTTGTCTAAGGCAATACGCAGAGAACTAGCAACCCCATCAACAAAATCATCAACCTGTGAAGGGGAATAAGCTAAGCTTTTGCACTCTGCAGCACTGCTCAGTGACACAGAGGAGAGAGAAAGTGAAGCAGATTCTTTAAAATTTTTAACTGCACTATCTGATAAAGATCTACTAAAATTGAACCTTCTTTTGGGGGAGGAGAACTCTGTTAAAGTAATCCTGAAGGTTATTAGAAAGTGGTCAGAGAGGACAGGGTTGTGAGGAAATACTGTTATTTCTTCACATTCTATGCCGTATGTCAGCACAAGATCCAAAGTATGAAGATGAGAATGCGTGGGACTATTCACATTTTGAACAAAGCCAACAGTGTCTAAGATAGCATTAAAGGCTGCTCTTAAGCTATCGCCTTCAATGTCAGCATGGATGTTAAAATCTCCCACTATGATGACCCTGTCAGTATTTAATACCAAATCAGAAAGGAACTCTGAAAACTCATCTAAAAATTCAGAGTAAGGACCTGGTGGACGATACAAAGTTACAAAAAGAAGAGGTTTTCTTGCCTTGAAATTTGGATCAGGGAAATTAAGGGTTAAATGTTCAAAAGAGTTGTAGGTATTAATTGTTTTGGGAGTAATCAGTAAGTCAGACTGGAAGATTGTTGCTACTCCTCCTCCTCGCCCAGAACTTCTGGGGATGTGAAAATTTAAATAGCTTGAAGGAGTTGCCTCATTTATGCTCACATAATCCTCTTGCTGCAGCCAGGTTTCTGTAAGGCAAAACAAGTCAATGTGATTATCACAAATCAAGTCATTAACTAGTAGACTTTTAGAGGAAAGCGATCTTATGTTAAACAGACCGCATTTAATTGTTTTAACTTTTTCCCCAATTGGAGTTATTTTGATTTTAATTAGATTATCATGATTTACTCCTTTGGGAATCTTTGCTAATTTATTAGATTTTGGTCGTGGGCAAGACACTGTCTGGATGGAGTAAAGAGTGGGTAACAGTAGAGAAGCTGCAGAGATGTGTGTTAAACTACAACTCTGCTTCCTGGTCTGCACCCTGGGTGGTCAGGGTTTTGGAGGACTAATAAATGTGGCCAGATTCCTAGAAAGAAGAGCTGCACCATCCAAAGTGGGATGGATGCCGTCTCTCCGAATCAGACCAGGCTTTCCCCAAAAGGATTGCCAATTATTAATGTAGCCCACGTTGTTTTCAGGGCACCACCTAGACAACCAGCGGTTGAATGACGACATGCGGCTAAACATGTCATCACTGGTCAGATCAGGGAGGGGACCAGAGAAAATTACGGAGTCCGACATTTTTTTGGCAAACTTACACACCGAAGCAACACTAATTTTAGTGACCTCCGATCGGCGTAACCGGGTGTCATTACCACCAGCGTGAATAACAATCTTACTGTATTTAACCTTATCCTTAGCCAGTAGTTTCAGGTAGGATTTGATGTCGCCCGTTCTGGCCCCCGGCAAACATTTGACTATGGTCCCTGGTGTCTCTAATGCCACGTTTCTGACTATGGAGCTGCCAATCACCAGAGTGGGCTTCTCAGTGGGTGTGTCACTGAGTGGGGAAAACCGTTTAGAAACGTGAACGGGTTGGTGGTGACCAGTGGGCAGAGATCCACGACTACGCTTTCTGCGTACAGTTACCCAATCGCCTGGCTGCTCAGGCACTTTTGGAGGACAGCTACGTGGGGGGCCTACTTTAACTCCTGGATGTTCAACAGCCTGAAGCCTGGATTCTAACTCTGACACCCTCGCCTCCAAAGCTACAAAAATACTACACTTATTACACATCCCATTATCACTAAAGGAGGCAGAGGAATAACTGAACATCTGACACAGAGAGCAGGAGAGAGGAGAGGAAGAAGGAAGAGTTGGAAAAGAGTCAAGGGAGGGAGAGAGAGAAGCCATAGCAATGCTAAGCTAGCGCTAGCCTAGGCTAGCTACTCCTTGCTATCAGAAATAAAACCGTGTGAAACTGACAAGTGCTCAGTAGAAAAGTGCAGCAGAAGGTGCTATTATTCACCATAAAGTCCGGCTGCTATTGGTCAAGCCCACCGCAATGTTTGGCTCTACAGCCAATTAAATGACCTTTCAAACAAGGGTAAGCGTGGCTAAATGGAATAATGCAGACCTGATATATTGCCGTTCCTAAACGGAGCACAGGCACCTCAGAACTTGCATCGTTGTACACAGATAATTACATGGAAAGTTAGGAAATGTAAAAATATTTATATATATGTTTAAAAGCAATAAGCACAATTTGGAGAGGTTTGGATGGTGACACCAGAAGTTAGAAGTCCCATTATTCTGACACTTATACATTTTTTGCAGTCAACTATGAATCATGTTTTAACTGCTGCAGTTTAGGCTGTGCCTTAATCACAGTATTTTATTTATATTTTCAGAAACAAGAAGGTCTTGGCTTCCAAATGATGTATCACACATGTAATTTGGGTTTACAGTTCCTTAGTTATTTGCTTTTAAATTTATGTATGCAAAAAGGTGAGGATTATTTCAAATGAGTGGGATGCTAAGAGCTTAAACATAAATATTTTTATTTAATTAACAAGTTGTCTTACCCCCTGTATCTTCTGGACTATTAGCCGCTAATTTTTTCCCACTCTTTGAAACATACACCTTATATGAAGCTGCAGCTTTTCTGTGAATTTTTTCAAACTGCCAGAGGGGGAAGTCAAAGCTGGAAATGAAAGAATAAGGGGCTAATTTTAATTTAGCACAAGCCATGCTAGCAGCAGGCACGATGGAGAACAAACGTCTGAATTCCCACAGTGACATTTATTTGCCACTTTAAAGCTGCTGAATCATTGAAGAGACTGGGCTCAACTCCTGCAGGACTGAAATAAAGAGCAGACGAAGTCCCATCTTTCAGTAGAAGCTCTGACTGCTAAGAGCTAGCAAGCTAACGGGAGCTAGCATCTTCTTTCTCCCTACTCCAGAGGGTATATGTAAAGCTCCCCCTACAGGTTTGGTGGGAGACAGTTCAGTAGATATCAGGCACTTATAGTCCAGTGCGGCTTATAATGTGATTTCTGTGATTTTTTAATTTTATTTGTGGGGTTGACTTATAGTGAGGTGAGCCGTATAGTCCAGAAAATACAGTACATGCTTAAATAAAGGTAAAATACAGTTCAAGAAAAATGTAGTTTGCATCTTTGCAGTGTAATTGTCTATATGCTGCGTTGTGCACAAAAAAAAATGTTCAGTTTGAAACACGTTATTTCATCCATGAAAACAAAACAATTATCCAAGAACTGTTTTCCAGAATATTACCCATTTATATAAGAGATCAAAAATATTGGGGGTTAGTCCGGGATCGATGTATATGAATCTGTTTCTATGTAGATTGATATTATTTTTGCTGTAAGAACAAGAAGAGCAAACATTCATGAAAGCAGATTTGTTTCTTTTTTAACTAGAACTCCACTGTGGGGGTTACAGTTCTATAGAAACAGGATCTCTGATTTCCCTGCTTCTACATAACAGACTGTATCAACTTTTCTAAGTAAAATGATCTGTCAGAGCTCAGATTTTTTTCTCTAATGATCTCCTTCTGTCTCTGTCCTCCAGTCACGCCTGTCATTCCAGACACAGAGTTTCCGTCCAGTGCTCCAGAGAAGGTGAACATCTTCGCTCTTCTGCTCTAACTCGTATCTCTTTGGTTCCTTTCTGTGCTGACGTTTAAACTTCTGTCATCCTCAGAGTGCGGTTTGCGTCCAGCACTGGGTCTTCATCCTCACAGGAGGAAACGGATCCTGGGGGGCCGGGTGTCCCGGCGGGGGGCGTGGCCCTGGCAGTGCTCGCTGCAGAGCGGTCAGAGCGGACACGTCTGCGGCTGCGTGCTAATCGGCCGTCGGTGGGCTCTGACTGTGGCCCACTGCTTCGAGGGGTGAGATTTCTGTTCAATTTATTTCTATAGCTCCAACTCACATCATGTGATCTCAGGTCACTTTATAGAGACAGTTAAACCAGATCATACAGTCAGATAGGTTCAAAGTTTTATATCTAAGAAAAAACAGCTGAATGATGAACAGGGGGTCCCTATGTCCTCCAGCAGTCTAAGCCTATAGCAGCAGAACTATAGAGATAGCTCAGGATAACCTGAGTATTTTGGATGAGATATAAGAAATGTAGAGCCCTTTCTTTAGCTGCAGACCTGGACTGTGACCTGAGCTAACTCTGAACTGGTTTCCAGGAGGGAGAACGCTGAGCTGTGGAAGGTGGTGCTGGGCCTGACTAACCTGGACCATCCCGGATCTCACAGTCAGAGCCGCAGCGTCCGCGCCATCATCGTTCACCCGCGCTACAACAGGGCGGTGGTAGACTACGACATCAGCGTGGTGCAGCTGGACTCTGAGGTCAGAGCGTCACACAGCCGCCATTCTCAGCAGAGGGCGGGCAGCGCTGACGGCTGTGGTCGTTACAGGTGGAGGAGACGGCCCACGTCAGGCCGGTGTGTCTGCCTCAGCCGGGTCAGCTGCCCTCGCCGGACTCCTACTGTTACATCAGCGGCTGGGGTCACATGGGCAACAGGAGTGAGTAGACACTGCAGACGCAGAGACGTGTCATCATGTCTGAGAGCATGACTCATGGTGGGAGGAGAGGAAAACAAAATCACAGCCATCTTTGTTAGGAACACCTGCTGAAGCAGATCAACCAATCACAGAGCAGAAACCGCATCCTTTCAGAATATCTGCTGATATGTTGTTTATTTGGACATTAGTTAAACAGCTTTAGGCTCCAGTTTACAAACAAAGTAATATAAGACAGTTTGGCATCATTGAAACGATATATTTTCATCCATGTTTACAGAAACAAAGAAAATGTCCTTTTGGCAGAACAAGTGTCCATTTATAAAGAGAAAATACAAACTAAAAAGAAAGCAGATGTTCCAGATGTGATGGCTTTACATGTTCAATCATCTACTGAGCTCATATCTGCTAACAACTTTATCGTCTCTATAAAAATGCTTCAATTTCAATGATCAAACATAGAATTAAGGCTAAAATTACATTTGTGAATATAAATATAATAATCACAATGATTTCCAGTCTTCTACTTTCTTACCATGAAAAGCAACGACAATTTCCTGCTTCCGCAGAAAGTTTGGGTTTAACATTAAGAATTATAAAGTTTTTATATGAATATCACTATTTTTTTGTGTTAATATATTTCTTCATGTATCAGTTAGCAGGATAACAGCTTAAAGGAGACGGCTGTTGATCTATATCTTGATCTATCCAGTCTGTCTCCAAAGGGAAACAGGAAGTTTTTCCAAAATAAAAAAAAAAGATCCAGAAACGATATCTTGCTGAAACAATTTAAAAATAATTTTGTTACTCCTAGAAGTAGAACAAAAACAAACATTCCCAGTGATGTCAGATACTTTCAACAAGGACTTATCTTCATTAGAAACATGATTTCTAAAGAGTCCTCCTCATTCCTGGCATCAAACGCTTAAAAACAAATAAAGACACAGATATAAGGGAGGGGCAGCCTAGTGGTGCTAGGAATCTGAGCCCCACTCCCACAGACTGCCACTCTGGGTCCCTGAGCAAGACCCTTAACCCCACACTGCTCCCTGGGCGCCGCACAATGGAAGCCCACTGCTCCCCAAGGGGAGGGGTTTAATGCAGAGAGGGAATTTCATTGCCCTGTGCTCGTGGCAGTGGAATGACAAGAAAACGCTGGAAAAAATATGAAAGTAGATGAAAACTCAACATAGGTAGCCACTAGAGGGCAGCATTGCACCAGAACACGTGTTTAAAACATCAGGATTTCTGCTGAAAAAGGAAAGATCATCCAGTCAGACGGATTCAAAATTTTCTAAGGAAAACCAGCTGATTGCATCGACTCATTAACTCTTCAGCAATCCCTCACACTAAGCATGCTTGTAGCGACAGTGGAGAGGAAAAACTCCCTTTTAACAGGAAGAAACCTCCAGCAGAACCAGACTCAGTAGAAACAAAGGTGTTGATGGCAGCAGCACAGCTGATATTTCTCTCCAGGATGGAGTCACAGCCAAACAGGAACAGACCAGATGAAGCTACTATGAGAAAAAGCAGAGAGAGCAGAACGTTAGAGATTGAACTAACAGATTCTGCAGAGTGGGAGAATAGAGGTAGAATGATGAAAAAAGGGTCCCTATGTCCTCCAGCAGTCTAAGCCTATAGCAGCATGCTAGAGTCAGCTTTCCTGCTGCAGTGGTGATGTTCACATGAAGGTCCTTAATGACGGGGTGACTATTAAAGGACCAACCAGCAGACTCCATCATTCTGTCCTATATATTCAGTATCACACTCCTGAACCTAGAGGAGGACTCCTCCGTTCGTCCCGCTCTGTGTGTGAAAGCTTTTCACTGTCCGGATCAGAACCTGTGTGTCTGTCCTCAGTGCCCTTCAAGCTCCAGGAGGGGGAGGTCCGCATCATCTCCAAGTCTCAGTGCCAGTCCTACTTCGACATGAAGACTATAACTCCCAGGATGCTTTGCGCTGGCTATGAGGCTGGAACGGTGGACTCCTGTATGGTAAGTTCTGCCGCGGTTCTGTTGGGTTTAGGGTTTACTGTGTTCTTACGTTCGCTCTGAACCGTGCCACAGGGCGACAGCGGCGGCCCGCTGGTGTGCGAGGAGCCGGACGGCCTCCACTGGACCTTGTTCGGCCTGACCTCCTGGGGCAGCGTCTGCTTCAGCAAAGTACTGGGGCCTGGAGTCTACAGCAACGTCACCCACTTCACCCCCTGGATCCAGCAGCAGATCTACATCCACACCTACGTGACCGACTGATAGCGGTCGTTCCAGGGGGAAGTGATGTCACTGTTGTTACCAACGCAACCCCAGTTCCTGTGATAAAACTGTAGAGATCCATGTGGCGGTACCGGCTGTGAGCTGGCACTCCTTTATCACCCAACAGGTGCATGGGGCCCCATCAGGGGGCCGCTACTATGGCCCAGTGGGCCCTCCCAGTACAAACAGAACCAATTAGGTTTGTCTCAGTTCAAATGGGGCCAAACATCTTGAACCGCAGGGCCATAATGCTCCCCGGGGCCCCTCTTCAGCCCAATTTTCTGGCCTTATGGGCCCCAGAAGTAAATGTTGGCTGGAAGTAGAGAAAAATGTAATGTCTTCTGTTGTCCAGTTTCAGAGGGATTTTCTAAACTCCGTATGGAAGCTAGTATGAATTATGACCTTATTAATAAATCGTTTTTATTTGTTTAAGTCTTAGAACAGCTGATCCTGAACCTTTGAGATCAGCTCACTGCTTCATAAAGGATCGTAATATAAATCCATAAAAACCCAAATCGCTCTACAGATTAGAACATTTCTTCCAGTTGATGTCGTCCGAACTGTAATCCTCGCTGGTTTTCCTTAAATATAAGCAGGTTATTTTTCTCCTTCAGCCTGTTTGTCTCTAGAAAAAGGAAACATCAGATGGATTTAACTCCAACAGGAACATTATTCTTTTATTAGCAGCTTTATTTCTGTGGAATCTAAATCCTTTTCCACAGAAACATCCAGGGTCGTTTTAAAATATCCCTGAAACAACAAACAACTTCCTGTCTCTCCCTGATGCGTTCCTGTAGTTTTCCATGGGAGCCTCTGTTCGCCATCAACTATATTTAATAACGTTGTTTACTGGTTTTAAAGACATGATGAGGTTTTAAGCTCATTTAAACCTTGCTAAACAGCTGAGGACTCAACGTCCCACAATGCTTCACTCTTTAGTGCCTGAGTTAAGAGTTAAAAAGATATTGAAAACAACAATGTAATGCAGCAGTATTTTCAGAAGAAGTTTCTGTTTGAGACACAAAAACAGGCCAGATATGAAACCAAACCGTCTTTAATCCTGTTGATTAAAAACCCAAATAGTGGGGAGTGTTGGCCTAGTGGTTAGAGCAGTGCATTTGTGCTCTGAGAAGATTGCAGTACCCGGATCGATCCCCACAACCTGCACTCTGGCTCCCTGAGCAAGACCCTTAACCCCACACTGCTTCGCGGGCGCCGCACTATGGCAGCCCACTGCTCCCAAAGGGGATGGGTTAAATGCAGAGAAGGGATTTAAATGAACAAACTACTGTATTTTAATAATTCCACTTTTTCTCATATTGGAGAAATTTACCTCTGCATTTTAACCCATCCCCTTGGGGAGCAGTGGGCTGCCATTGTGGGGTGCCTGGGGAGCAGTGTGGGGTTAAGGGTCTTGCCCAGAGTGGCAGTCTGTGGGAGTGGGGCTTGAAATTAGAACCTCAGGATCCAAGCTCTATGCCCTAACCACTAGTCCACTGCTTCACCGCTATAGGACTATAGAGCGCACCTCACTATAAGCCACACCCACTACATTTTTGGATAGAACTAGAAACAATCAAATATAAGTCACACCACGCTATAAGCCGCTGATATCTATTGAACTGTCTCCCAGCAAGCCTGTAGGGGGAGCTCTACATATAGCCCCTGGAGTAGGGATGAAGAAGAATGCTAGCTCTCATTAGCTTGTTAGCTCACAGCAGTGTCACTGTCACTACCTGATCCGTCCCGGAAACACGATCTGTCCTGCTCATGCGCATCCAGATTCACATCCGGGTCGTCCTCGATTTTATTTTGTTAAAAAGACCTAAATGACGTTTCCCCTCCCCAAAAATAGTAAACGTACTAAAATATAACGTGTTAAAGGTTAATAATAAAGGTTAATTTCCTGAGTGTCAGGTCTAATCACCTAAAACATCATACATACATACAGGTAAACAAAAAGACACAGAGGCAACTAGTTTAGTTATGCTCACAAAGGAGAGTAGGAAGAGACTGCACAGTTTACAAATCTCCACCCCACTCTGCCCGTCTTCAGCTTTCTCCTCGCTATTTATTAAAGTCAGGGGATGTCCCTAATTACACAAGCTGAGGTTGTACTAAAGGAAAGGGAAACAAAATGATCTTCCTTTGAACCTCAGCACATATGTTAAAACAAAGCATGTGGGTGTTTTACAAATAAATTTGTACCAAGAACACATGTTTAGAAGAAACATGTTCAGGCCGCTTTCACAACCCGTGGAACGATCTTTAGCAAGAGCTAATAAGCGATGAATCACACATTATACATCATAATAGTTCATTAGTACACAACCCATGAAACACAAATGGAGTATAAATAAAATATTTCTAACACTGAGAAAATAAATGCCTTAAAATCCTTTCTGTTTTATCACTCGTCTCTGTCCGATCTGCAATGGAAATGGGACTTTGGATTTAAACATAAATCTAGTCCTTTTGACTTTTATGTGTTTGTTTCATTTTAACCTTATGCTAAATAGTGCGTAATCTAAAGAAACAACTAAAATGCAGATAAACTTTGTTTAATCAGATTTAGCGGGACTGCTCTTATCATGTCCCATGATTATGTCAGAGAAGCAGTTTAACCCAGAAAATGTAAAAAGCATCAAAATTGTCTCACAAAAGTCATAAAACATTTTTTAAAGGTGTTAGCATTCTTAGCGGGGTTAAGGATAGAAATAAGTAGTTTTAGTAACATAACTACATTATTTATGGACACCCAGATGTATATCTGTTCGCGCATGCGCAGGACAGATCGTGCTTTCGGGATGGATCGGGTAGGGACAGTCACTACCCGATCCATCCCGGAATTACGATCCCTGCTGCCCATGCGCGAGCAGAATAATAAGATCCGGGTTGCCGAAAACTACGTAGAAACGGTATTTAAAATACTTATTTATATGCTTAGAACATTAAAGAATGCTAAGCTATATTCATATAGAACATATTGAAGACTTTTCTGGAAGAAGTGGATACGTTTTACATTCTCTCCATTGTATTACATGACGTCATCATGGGACATGCTCGGAGCAGTCACAGTAACGTTCTAAAGGCTATTTAGGTGGTTTTTTTTATGTATTCCTTTTTTTGGTTTTTATAATATTCAATATTTATGCAAATAAATAAATTAAAAAATATTCAAAAGGAATCCCCGCCGGAAAAGGACAAAAGAATAAAAAAGTAAGAAAAACTGCATGCACAGGACGCATCGTGCTTCCGGGACGGATCCGGTAGTGACAACCAGCTTTTTCTTTCATTTCCAGCTTTGACTTTCCCCTCTGGTTGTTTGGAAAAATCCACAGAAAAGCTGCAGCTACTTATAAGCCGCGTTGTTCACAGCGTGGGAAAAAAGTAGGGACTTATAGTCCGGAAAATACGGTAAACATAAGATCATCACATAAACACAATGATTGACTAAATCCTATTAAATTGTTTTATTTATTCAGCATGTGTATGTTTTATCACATAATTAAGAGCAAAAATACATTTAATCAGCTTATCTGTAACAGTAGGACTTTGTACATACATGGAACAAAATGTTAACAGGAAATCTCAACTTATCATCTAAATTATATTTTTCTGTATTTCACTTAAAAACATCTTTTATTGAACGATCCTACAGACTTACTAACATGAACAAAACATTGTCAGAATAATGTGAAGCACAAATGTAGCACACTAGCTCTGTTAGCTTTAGCCGTGTTGTTGTAGTTCGTCTAGGAGCAGCGTTGCGTTTTAGCTAAAGTTTAAAGTGTCGGCTAACAGACGTGGATTACTAACCAACTAACAAATCATGTTTCATGACGTCCACCTTTAAATTAAACCGTCAACAGGAGGAGTAACTGTTAGCATGTAATGCTAGCTAGCTTCCAGCTAATGATTTCATTTTTACAAGAAAACATCATCTTTAAATGTTGCTTTAGAAACTTTTTGTCATTTCATAAACCCCTTGAAGGTATAATAACTAAAAACAGCACAATTTAATGTCTTTGTGGCACAATTAACCCTAAATAAGGATATTAATGCGGTTAGCTAGCTGCTAGATATTTTATGCTGCTGCTAAAATGATAGTTCTAGTTTTAGATTTGAGGGTTTAGGCTGTAGTTCATTAACACTACATGCTTTTGTGGTGAATATTGTGGAGTGAAAGAGCTGATCTCTTGAACCTGAACAGTTTGGAGATCAAATTTATAATCAAAGAGCTAAACGTTATTGATGTGCTGCTAAACCATTGGAAGTCCAGTTTTCTCTGTTTTCCCTCCTCTGGTGCATAGATTCCTAAAGAACCAGTGTTTTCTTGAAGCCCTGCTCCCGTTTGGTTTCCTGACTTTGCTAACAGCTGAGTGTTTGATGTTCCTATCGTCGCTGAGGTCTCCAGAACATTCCACCAATCTGCTGCTGCTGTTTGGGTTTCTAAGACTATTTTTCTACAGCTTTTTGTACGTTTTGCTTCTCAGAGGACTATATGTGTTTGTGTGTGTGTGAGGACATGCAGTCACGTGTTCAGGTTTCAGCTTAGTTATGACCAATTTGTTGCCATGGTGATCAGCTACTGAACGATCCTGTGGACTGAAATGCTTTCTGGATTCTAGCCCCTGTTATTTTGCGTACTCTGTGAATATTTTGTATGTATCTTCTGTTGTATGACACCAATAAAGCTGCCCGCACCTCACATTGAGTGGGTCTGACTCACTGTCTACACATTCAAACTGTTTCCACTTCCTCTTCTACAAATAAAGGGAACCTTAAGGTCAGGCTGAGGGATCGTTTCCTCTAACTTCAGAAATACAGACCAACCAACGCTTGCTTTACTAAGGCTCCTTTAATACAGCAGTAAAGTACTTTTCCAGACTAGGTAGGATTCCTGTAGGCATGTGGAGCACAATTTTTCTTCCAGTTTCCTTGTATTTTGCTCTGTGCAGCTCTGTGTTAAACCAAGGAGCCAGCTTTCTATTTTTTAAGTT